ATGTGTCACTGTGATTGGTTTAATAAAGAGCTGAATGGCCAATAGCTAGGCAGGAAGAGGTTAGGTGGGACTTCTGGGGACAGAGAGGTCTAGGGGAAGAAAGGCAGAGTTGCCAGTTGACACAAAGGCAGCAAGACATGCAGGAGGAGAGGTAAAGTCATGAGTTACGTGGCAACTTGTAGATGAATAGAAATGAGTTAATTTACATTATGGCTAGTGTGACAATGTGAGGATGCATTATTTATGTTTTATTAAAGCTTGCCTGAGGATTTAGAAAGTCAAGTCAGCCACAAGCCACAGAAGACAGGCACACCTGTAATCCCAGCAGCTAGGAGGTGGTGGTACACACCTGTAATCCTAGGACTCAAGATGAAGAGCTAAACAGATCTCTCTGAGTTCAAGGCCATCCAAATCTACACAAGATTGATCCAGTCCTAAAGAGAAACAGCTCACACAAAGATGATCTGAGCACCTGGCATCACATGCCTTTAATCCCAGCACTAGAGGATTATAAAAGGTAAGAGGATTATGAAAGGATTATAAAAGGTATAAAAGTAGTCAGTATCAGGCATTCATTCTCTAGCCACCCTGGGGAAAGGAAGACATTCAGTGTCAGGATTCTCCAGCCACACTGAGGAGAGGCAACAGGATCAGCCGCCCTTCAATCGGAGGTTGTGAGTGGTAAGAGCTAGTGGCCCCAATGCTTTGCTTTTCTGATCTTCAGCTTGAAGTTTGAACCCTAATAGCTGTCTCTGCTTTTGGTTTTTTTTTTTTTTTTTTTTTTTTTTTTTTTTTTTGTTAGTTTGTTTTGTTTTGTTTTTTCCCCCTGTGTGACAGGATAAGCCTAAGCTATAGGCCAAGCTTTTACAATTAATAAAGTCTCCATGTCCTTTTTGTGGGCTGGCAGCCCAAAGAAAAATCTATCTACAGCCTCTGCATGAGCTCCTGCCTCCAGATTTCTGCCCTGTTTGAGTTCCTGTTCTGGCTTCCTTCGAAGATGGACTACAATGTGGAAATGTGATTCAAATAAACCCTTTCTTCCCCAACTTGCTTTTTGATCATGGTGTTTGATTACAGCAATAGAAACCCTAAGACAGAGTATATATAAATGTGTCTATATATATGCACATGCTCTAACCACTGAGAAATCTTTCCAGACACTTTATGTTGACTTTTACAATTGCATATTTATTGTTTTTAGTAAGATGGACATGAATCTTTATTAGGTATTTTGAAATGCTGGAAATGACTTGTGAACTATGGGACCCTTTGTTCCATTTCCCTGCCTGATGCAAGCCTTTTCTTTATAGTATTCCTGAGGGCAGACAATTTCAGTTTGAACTTGGCTAAGCCTCAGAGACTATGAGTACTCACAGATAAGAACTAGGGAAACCAGGAAATGTTAACCACACAGAGTTTTCTCCTCAATGAAGGAAATGTATAACCTGTTTTCCACACCAAAAACTGGATATGGATATTATTAATTACCTCCTGACCTATGCTATTTGTATAACCAGACATCACCATCACCCCCCCCCCCCATGCTTACTCCAAACTCTCCCTCTCTAGATCTTTATTTTTAGCTTTGTTTCTCAACCAATAGGAACCATTCTTAGAGGAGATATCACATGTACTTTATAGCTTGCTGACCTCTACTAAATTATTTTGTTGCTACTTCATCCATGCAATTTTGCTACTGTCATTGAACTGCAATGTAAATATTTTTAAGATAGAGTTTTGTCAAAGGGGTTGCAACCCACAGGTTGAGAACCAGTCTTAGACCCTTAGTCTATAGAACTTTATGGTAGAGGTCACATGTACTTTGCAAAAGAGTTTCAGGGTAGACATGCCTTAAGCTTTATTGTGTGGGATTGAGATAGGCATTGCTAGGAAACTTTTTTTCCAAAAATTATATTGTACTTAGATATATCAAAAAGAAACTGACCTGGTGTCAGACTACAGAAGATGAACCAGGGCTGACTAAGTGGAGTTTTTCTTCTTATCTCACATGAAACCTTTCCTTGATGACTGTGATGCTTGCAGGAACCCCCTCAACAATGGGGCCAGTCCTTACTGACCCTGCTTGGTGATCAGCATCAGAACTCACAGGTTATTCTTTGATGTTCCCTGACAGCGATCCTGCTCCGTTACCTCCTGGTTGCTTTCCATTGTACCTGAAACAAATATCCCCAGTTTCCTTACTTGGCTCCCAGCTACCCTCCTCTCATAGATGAATAGTTTTTGCATACCCATCCTTAAAGATGTATTTATTTTGTTTTATGTGTATGAGTGTTTTGGTTGTATGTATGTGTGCTTACCACATGTGTGCCCAGTTCCCATGGAGGTCAGAAGAGGGCATCAATACAATAGAACTAGACTTCTAGATAGAACTGGACTTCAGTTGAGTGTTCATGCGGGTGCTGGGAATAGAACTCAGGTCCTCTGTAAGAGCAGTAAGAGCTCCAAATATCCATCCTTAAATTCTAGCAGTCTAAAAACAATGACAAGAGGTGTCCTAGAGAGATTGTTCCTTTGGCTCAATGATGTTTATGCCATAGAGATCTATGGGGGGCTATTACCACAGGTCCTGAGGGTTAGAAAAGGCCACAGAGAATTTTATACAAAGTCCACATAGTCCACAGAGTCAAATCTCTTGGACTCTCTCTCCTCTATTCTATGTTGCATAGGTTGGCTTCCATTCTTGAGTTACTGCCTTAATTTAGCCGCCCACTTACAATGACAGGGATGCAACATAGCAATTGGCTTTCGGTTCTGGTTCTCACGGCACTTGCATAATATGAAATCAATTCAGGCACTGGATCAGTGAATCACTGCTCTCAGAGGAAACACAGAATTAATTTTCTGAGAGCGGCAGATCACAATTCTGTCAACTGAGCAACACAAAACATTCCTTGTTTTGTGTATGAAATAGTTATTATTTACTGATTTTTTAAAAAAAATATTGAAGCAAGGTCAATAGCACTATAACTCATGAATGAAGTAAGTTCATCTAACAAATATCTATTTTTTGTAAGGTTTGTCACCAAGCCTGTTTGCATCTGGAAACATTAGAAAAATGCAGAAAAGCAAACCTGCCAACAAAAACACAAGGATTCAAACAGTTAAAAAAACGGACAGGTACCATAAAGATCAATTAAGACCATGTCAAGCACTCATTTGCAGTATGAGAATCTGAGAATACAGCTTTGGGAACCTTAAGTTATTTATCACTTCAAGTGTTGATTCTGGAGTTAAATAAATGTGAATAGACTAGCTGAAAAACATAGACTCTTCAAATAACAGCCAACCAGCCATGCTTAAAAAAACTTCAGAGCAGTTAATCTGAACAGTGTATCTGATTTTCTCTTTGAGGCAGGGTCTGGCTATTCTGGAACTCACTATATAGACCAGGCTGGCTTCAAACTCACAGCTTCTTAAATGCTGGGATCAAAGATGTGCACACCACAAAAGAAATGATTCATAAGCCAGGAATAATTCATAATCAAAAGAGGCTCAGAGAACACAGTTTTCAAACATGGGCAATATTTATAGACAGAACAACTGAAGGAGAGTACAGAAGTAGCAAACAGTTGCTTATTTGGACATGGTCTGAACAATTGGAAAATGCTTATGATTGACTGAGATCTGGCTCTTATAAAAAATATACATAGTTTCTGTGTGGTGGCATATGCCTTTAAGTCCCCCAGCACTCAGAAGGCAGAGGCAGGAGAATCTCTATAAGTTCAAGGTCAGCCTGGTATACAGAGTGAGTACCAGGACAGCCAATACTACACAGAGAAACCCCATCTTGAGAAACAACAACAACAACAAAAAACCCAAACCGTGTGTGTGTGTGTGTGTGTGTGTGTGTGTGTGTGTGTGTGTAGGTAGATAGGTAGGTATAGAGAGATCTTGTCAGTTCTTTTTTTTTTTTTTAAGACGGGTCTCACTTTATAGCTTGGAACTTCCTTCCTAGCTGGACTTGATTTTGAATTTTTGTGTTAAGGTAAGTCCATCAGAGAACAACACACAGACAATCTTAAGTCTGTATTGCTGGCCGGAGACAGGGGATTTGTCCAAATTATACAGCCTTGATCCTCACACTTCCCCTGATCCTCTCAGTTCTTTGTCCTTTGTGCACAAAATCCGAATACTTTTTAGTTAGCAAGAAGCAGAACTGTGGAAGCCAAAAGGCAAGGTTAGCACATTTAGGGACTTTTGCTGATCCTGGAACAGGCCAGGTCTTCGATAGATTAGGTCTTTATATCCTTTCTGGCAGGTGTTGAGGTTTTAAGGTAGGCATAGGGTCAGATGTGCTAATATCTTGGGAGCTTGCTAAAAATTCAGAGATCCACCCTCTTCTGAGTGCTGGGGGATTTAAAGACACAGGAGCTCATTGCCATGGCGTTTGCTATTATGTTTTAGACAGGGTTTCTCTGTGTAGGCCTTGCTGTCCTGGAACTCTCTCTGTAGACCAGGCTGGCCTCGATGGAGCTCATTAGAGATCGGTCTGCCTCTGTGAGCCACTAAGCCTGGCTCTGACTTAGTTTTTAAAAACATGTCATCTACATGTAGAATTCTGACTTTATTAGTGTACATCGTGCTGTAGCTCACACCCTGATTGTTGAAACTTTCCTCTCTAACAGATACAGAACGTTTCTAACACTCCAAAGAATCCTCAGGGTTCTGAGTTTCCTCTATGGCCAGCCCTTCCTTTCCAGGCCTTTCCCCTCTCACTGTAATGGGCAGAAGCACAGAAACAAACACAGAGTGGTGCAGATGCCAGGTTATAGGGTTTTTCCCCTCCTTCTTGAGAAACTTTGCTTGGATCTGGATCAGTCAAAGGGCCCAAAGAACTTGCCACTAGAAACGCTGCGCATGCGCAGACACTCACAAGACCGGTCCCCATAACCTGGCCCCGCCCCCGACGTCGAGGCCCCGCCCCCGACGCCTAGGGCTGGTAATCTCGACCTCAAAGCGCTCGAGCTCAGCGTAGGCTTCAATCCCTGGGAGGTCGTCGGTTTCCATTGAGCTTTCCTCTGGGTCCGCTGCCGGAACCATGCCTTCCGCCACGTTGACGTCTCCGCGCCTGCGCCGGGTGTTCGTGGTCGGCGTTGGCATGACCAAGGTAAACAGAGCTGTGAGGCGCGGCGGGGCAGATGTGTCCTTGCGATGCCCGGCAGCCCCGAGGTGACAGGAAGCGTGGCCCGGGGACGGTCACCAGCTACACTGCTGTCCCATCCCTCCTAGAGTCGCGTGGGCTTCAGAGAGGCGACTCGGGGGTTTATGATGCTGCTCCTAGGGTCGCAATGTCCCGGGTTTGTTCCCTCAGCTATTTTTCCTTCGCCTTCCTGTTTCCCTTTTCTTTCTGCTGAGCCTGTGAAGGAGCCCCTAAAACAATCCAGACCTCACACTTCTTTAGATTCTAAATCCCGACGTAGGCTGTCCGGGTGGCTCACATCTGTTTGCAGTGTGAACTTTTGGAGGTGCAGCCAGGAGAATTGCTACGAGTTCGAGGTCATAGAGGATTATGTAGCAAGACCTTGTTTCACCAAACAAAACAAACCAAAATCGACAGAAAGACATTTGGAACTTGGACAGAGGCCAGGGCTGTCTACAGAAAGAAGAGGAGATCGTCAATTTCACCAGCTCTGTAGTGGCTATAAGTGCCCTTCTCAGATAGCAGCAGGTGTGGCTGTGGGTATGAACAAGCGATGCTTAACAATGGAGGTTCTCTCCATCCTTTGGCCATGCTGCAGTTTCTCGGGTATTAAGGTGGACCAGAAGCTTCTATAGCCTCCTCTCTCGATACCCTCACTGATACCCTGAGTACTCTCCGTGTCCTAGTAATGCCAAGTTTGTCTTAATCTTCTGTTGCTTTGCATCTAGTGACACAACTTTCACTAGCTGATTTTCCCTGGTTAACCTCTCTCTCTCTCTCTCTCTCTCTCTCTCTCTCTCTCTCTCTCTCTCTCTCTGTGTGTGTGTGTGTGTGTTTTCTTTTTTGAGACAGGGTTTCTCTGTGCAACAGCCTTGGCCGTCGTGAAACTATCCCTGTAGACTAGGCTGGCCTCGAACTCACAGAGATCCACTCACCTCTGCCTCCCAAGTGCTGGGGCCCTGCTTCATTGTGTTCTTAAAGGGTCAGCTTAGATCTTATGTTCTAGGAAATCTTTGATTATCTTGGCTTTCTCACAGAGACCTGAACCTAGCTCTAATTTACTTTTATGAACTAAATTTTTTTGTTTAAATGGCTATGTTCTCCTAATGCTACCACAATTATTCACTATTGTATCCCCCCCCCCCAATATGATAATCCCTGGTGCTCAAAGACAATGAATGTTAGTTGATCCATAGTAGATGGATATACTTTGTAAAAGAGTTACTTGAGAGGATTTTTTTGTGAAAAGAAAAAAAAGCCTTAAATTTTGTGTTACTTTTTTTTTGGGGGGGGGTTTGTTTGTTTTCCTAAGACAGGGTTTCTCTGTAGCTTTGACTATATTAGAACTTGCTCCGTAGATCAGCCTGGCCTCAGACTCATGGAGATCCTCTTGCTTCTGCCTCCTGAGGGCTGTGATTAAAGATATTCACCACCATTCCTGGCAAATTTTATATTGTCTTAGTAGCAGGCTAGAAACATGCAATTCAGTCAAAACCTGTAAATAGGAAAGTTGACTACTATTTTATACATAGAGAGCATCCCACGGTTTCCTTGTAGGGGGAGCTTCTGATACAGGGGGGTAGTAAGCCTTTCAAAAGTATTTTTTAGCCTTTTTTTTTTTTTTAAAAGCTGGACATTGGTGGTGCACGCCTTTAGTCCTAGCACTTGGGAGGCAGAGGCAGGTGGATCTCTGTGACTTTGAGGCTAGCCTGGACTACAGAACTAGTTCCAGTACTGGCTCCAAAGCAATACAGAGAAGCCCTGTCTCAGAAAACAAACAAACAAGACAGTATCTTACATATAGACCTGGCTGGCTTTAATTTCTGATAACTTTCCCAGGTGTTCCCCACCACACCCTGCTAGTATGTTCCACTCTAAACAGTCTTCCATTAGTTGTTTAATGTCTATTTATATGGACTGTATAGAAAAAGCACATTTTCTGAAAAAAAAAAAAATGAAAGGTATGTTTATTTCGGTTACCATTTGGGAGGCTGAGGTGAAAAGGACATTGCTATTTCTTAGAGAAGAGGAGGAGAATAAAAGATGGTTTTACCCTTTAAGGGTATATTCAGTACAGGTGCTATCTGTGTTATGTGTGAGCAAAGATGAGAGGAAAAAAAAAATCAAGATTGGGCTGGGGATCTAACTCACTTGGTAGAGAACTTGTCAAACATGCATGAAGTACTGTTTCCAAACACAGTCTTGCATAAGCCAGCCATGGTGGTATATACCAGAGTTCCAGAAGTCAGTGGGTGGAGACAGGAGTATCAAAGGTGAGGGTCAGCCTGGGTTATGTAAGACCTCATCTCAAACACAGACCAAGGTCTAGCAAGACGGTCGGTAGGTAAAAGTCCACCATCAGTCCTGGCAACCTTGTTTGATCCATGGTCCTCGTGTTCTACAAGGAGAATGCTGACTCTTTTAAGTCCTCCGACCAAGCCATGTGTACTGCAGAGTGAGTGAACATACACATACACTAACAAACTGAAGGCAGATTTTAAAAAACTGATACAAATAAACAAAAAGGAAGAGAGAAAAACGGGTAATTTGGAATTTTTAGTTAAACATGGAAGATTGAAAACATGAGCTCTCTCTTGGTTTGCTTGGTGTTCCGCCCCTGTCCCATGCCCACTCTCATTAAATCAATGAGTAACAATGTGCATTTGAACAGAAACTATAACAAGAGATGCCAGAAAATGTTTACAAGATTAAAAGTGGGCAGAAGACAGTTGTTTGGTGGCACACTCCTGTAATCCTAGCACTCTGCAGGTAGTAGCAGAATTATCTCAAAATCAAACAAAACCCAACTACCACAAAAATTCTCCATGTGACGTGGTTCTTCCTAGCTTTGCTCTTAGAAAACATGCGCAAACATACTACCTTCCTGTCATGGGTTGGGGGAATTATTTGAAACCATTCCAGGGAAAAGTCAGCTTGCTATGACATTGTCTTCTGGTGAAACTTAGTAGGCGATAAGCTTTACTCATGCTCACAAAGCTTCCTTTAAACTTAAAGAAAGTGCGTGCGTGCGTGTGTGCGTGCGTGCGTGCGTGCGTGTGTGTGTGTGTGTGCGTGTGTGTGTGTGTGCGCGTGTGTGTGTGTGTAAGAGAGAGTGAGGGAGGGGAGAGAGGAAGAGAGAGAGTGCGAGTTCAGCTGACAACTTTATTGAGTTGATTTTGTCCTTCCATCTTGTGGGTTATGGGGCACTTGGGTCACCAGGCTTGTGTGACAAGTACCTTTCTCTGCTGAACCATCTTGCCAACCCTGTGCAGACTTTGTTATTTTTAAATTTATTGTTCTAGGGCATCAAACACAGTGCCTTGAGCATGCCACAAAAATGCTGTCACCCTGAAACAAGATCCTAAGCTTCAAAGATAGGAAGTTTGAAGCCAGCCCTCAGAGCTAGCCCACAAGGGACCCTGTCTCAAAACAAACAAAACCAAAAAACAAACAACAACGAAAAACCCCAAAACCAACCAACAAACAAAACAACAGTTAAAACACACTGAAATACTGTTGAGTGGGAAGTATTAACGTGAGTATATGAGATTTTTCCAGCTTTTAAAAATGTCCTAGCTCTTTCATTCAAAGAGACCTAGAAACAGTAACCAAATCAGTGGTATTCTTGATATTAAGACTGAGGCCCTGTAATACCTCTTATTTCTCCCAGAGAAAGTGACTTATTTATCCATTCAGACCTCAGACTCACTATGTAGGTGCGGATGACTTTGAACTTCTAGGCTTCCTGCCTCTTTCTCCTGAATACCAGGATTATAGCTATATGCTGTCATTTCTGTTTATGTGGTTCTGGAGATGGAGCCTGGGGCTTCTTGCATGTTAGATACTTTACCAGCTGAGTTATAATACCTCCAGGCTCGCAAGCCCCCAGCCCCTGGAATACCTTTTTTCCTATTAAGAGAATTGGTTGGTTGGAGAAATTGCAAAATCTAGATGAGGCAAGAAATGATCAAGGTAAGTTTGCAGAAGTTTGTCATAGTTAATTGTGAAGAAATCAGGGCCCCCTTGGGTTATGTGAAGAGCCAGGTGCCAATTGACCAAAGCTGTCAGTGAAAGCTAGGATAATTTGAACTTTGTGTGTATGGGTGAGAGGCTAGAGGTTCTGTCTACCTTGTTTTTTTGTGGTGGAGCTTCTTCCTTGTCTCTGACTCACTAGGTAGGTAGGTGGCTGCTCAGTGAGGTCCTGTGATCTGTCTGTCCTGTGATCTGCTTACCCTAGGGATGCAACCACAAATAGATGACCACACTGAGACTTTTTAAGTACGTTGTCATACACAAGGCAGCTACTTTCCCAACCCAGCCATTTGGCCTTTAAACATGATTAAATTGATTGATTAAAGTCCATTACTATTGTGTCCCAATAATGTATTTATATCTTAAAAGCAAATCTTTGTAGGGCATTAATGAACCTATTAGTTTTCTTTAAAACTGGCAAATAAAAGCAAATAGTCATCTATTCAAGTTCCTTGGAGAAAATCAGGAATCCTGTATCTGCTGGACAAATAAGTGTTATTGATGAGGTGAGTGGTGAGGTTGGGAAATTAAATGATATCAAATTTGGAAGAGATGTATAACTTAAAGAATTACTATTTTGTTTGTATTTTGAGCAGGGTCACTCTACATGACCCTGGCTGTCCTGTGACTGATGGTATAGATCAGGCTGGCCTTGAACTCTGCCTGCTTCTGCTCCTGAGTGCTGGGACTGAAGGCATGAGCCACTACACATGGCTAGAATTACTAATTTTTTCATTTTATTTTACTTTGAGATAGGATCTCATGTAGTCTGGGTTGACCTCCACACTCCCTATGTTACGGTAGATGAGTCTTCAAGTCTTGATCCTCTTCCCTCCATTTCCTGAGTGCCAGGGTTGCACATGTGACCTGCACACCTGGTTTATGCAGCGCTGGGTATCAAACCCAGAGATTTATGCATGTTAAGCAAGCATTCTACCAATGGAGATACAGCCCCAGCCCTGGAACCACTATTTTATATATGACCCATGGATAATGTTCATTCCAAAAGACACATTCGTTAAATAACTGATTTGTTTGTGGGTCTGTTGATTGGATCAATAAAGATTTGATTTTGTGTGTGTGTGTGCGTGTGTGTTTAACTAGTGCTTTTACTACTGAGCTATCTCACAGACTCTTTCCTTCAGCTTCCCTTTTGTTGAGATAATGGTCTTTCCATTTTGCCCAGGCTGGCCCCAAACTTCTTGGGCTCAAGTGATCCTGATGCCTCAACTTTTCTAGTTGCTGGGATTGTCAGCACTCAACACCACTCCTAGATCAAAGTACAAGATTTTATTACAACACATTATGAAGAGTTCACTGGTATGGGTTCAATTGCCCATTACTGTAGCTGGAGTTTCTTCCCAGCCTGGTCCCACAGCTGTTTAGACCCAAATAAACACACAGAGACTTACATTAATTATTAAATGGTTTGGCTGATGGCTCAGGCTTCTTATTGGATAGCTCTCTCTTAATTATCAACCCATTTCTATTAATCTAAGTATTTCCATGTGATCTTATCTTACTGAGAAGGGTGCAGACCTGTTACTCCTTCTTCAGATACATGGTATCTCCTGGTGGCCTCTCTCTACATCTTTTCCCAAGCATTCTCCTTGTTTGGAGAATGCCTATACTTCCTGCCTGACTACTGGTCAATCAGTGTTTTATTCATCAACCAATAAGAGAAACATATATACAGAAGAACATCCCCCATCACATTACACTTTCCACATTACAATTCCACATACAATTTCCACATCAAAATACTTTCTACCTATTAAGTTTTACTTAGTGTTAAAAAGAAACATCCATGGCAGGGCTTGTATCTCAGTTGCAGAATGCTTGCCTATCACCCATCAAGGCCCTATCTGTTGTTTTTGTTTGTCTGGCTTTTTTGTTTTTGAGACAGGGCTTTGATGTATAGCCTTGGCTATCTTGAAACTTGCTATGTAGACTTGACTGGCCTAGAACTCTCAGAGATCTGCCTGTCACTTCTCTGTGTCTTAATGTTAGGATCAAAGTGTGTGCTACCATGCCTGGCCAGGTTTTGAGTTTAATCCTAGCACCATTTGAAGAAAGCAGTCAAAAGAAAGAATAGGGCTGGAGAAAAGCCTCAGGGGTTAAAGTGCTTGTCACTGACAAATCTGGATTGCTAGAGCCTGTGTAAATGCCAGGTAGGTGGTCAACCTGTAATTCCAGCACTGAAGTGCAGAGGCGAGATTTCCCCAGAACAAGCTTGCCTCCCAGATTATCCAGGTTGAAAGCCCTGGTTTGCTTGACTCTGCCTCAGTAAATAGATGGGCAACTACAGTAGGATGAATCTCAGTATCAACCTTGTATATGTGTGCATATGTATGTATATGCACAGTGCACACAGACATGGAAAAAAAGAATTTTTTGTTTTTGAGACAGGGTTTCTCTGTAGTTTTGAAGCCTGTCCTGGAACTAGCTCTTATAGACCAGGCTGGTCTCGAACTCACAGAGATACCCCTGCTAGGATTAAAGGTGTGTGCCACCACCACCTGGCTGGAAAAACGAATGTTTAAATATTTATTTTTCTAATTGTATATCTATGTCAGGTCAGATTTATTTCATAGACTTTAATGTAAATCTGAAGATATGAGCATGTATCAGATATGACTCTGTCTCTTGGTAAACCAGATAGCAACAGAAAAAAACAGAAACGTGGGGCCTGCTTTTGTATGGTGGAGGAGAGAACCACTTCTTCCAAGTTGTTCTCTGACTGTGCACACAAAATAAATAAATGGGAAAAAAAAAAATGATTCCCTGCAAAGCCTTTATTTTGTGTCCTAAATTGGTCTTTGTCAATTACTCTATACTTACAATCCTAGTGTTATTGCCTATTCTGTATTAGATTGGAAGCTCCCTGAGGGTAAACACTGGATGTTTTGTGTTCAGAGTAAAGGAACATGGCAGATGCTCTGTAATGTGTGTGTGTGTGTGTGTGTGTGTGTGTGTGAGAGAGAGAGAGAGAGAGAGAGAGAGAGAGAGAGAGAGAGAGAGAGAAAGAGAACCTCATGATGCACGTATACTGTGTGATGAACAACTGTTGGGACTCAGATTTCTCCTTACACAGTGGGTTCTGAGGCTTGAACTAGATTGTCAGATTTGCACAGGAAGCATTTCATTTCTCCCACCCTCCCCTTTTTTGGTTTTGGGATGGTGTCATAAATACCAGGCTGACCCAGAACTTGGTGTATAGCAAGCTTCTTGTTGGCATTACAGGCCGTGGCCGCCAAGCCTTGTTACTCTACCCACTTAGCCATATCCTTAGCATAGTACAGTATTTTTGTTTGAATGAATAACTAAATGAATTTCTGTGATGCTGTTGTAAAACAAAACAAAATAAAACCCTCTATACCTGTTTCTATTTATCATCTTCTTTTGCATTCTAGTTCATGAAGCCTGGAGGTGAAAATGCAAGAGATTATCCTGATATGGCAAAGGAAGCAGGTATTAGAAAAATATTTTTGGACATTGAAAAGCTTATTGTGTGGTCTGTTTTATTCCATGAGTGGGGCAGCTTTGCAAGCACAAAAAGAAACACAGTCATGGGGAAGAAGTCCCATGGAGCCTGTGCATGGGCGTAGTGGAAAGAGAAGGAAAAAACATAGGCATGCTTAGCAGTTATATAGCTAGAGTAGACAGTGTTGTATACTTTCATATGTTATCAAGCTGTGTGTTGAGATGATGTCCTACTTAACTTTAGTTAATTAATTTTAATTTAATTGTGTCAAATTGACACAGTGTAGAGTCACTTACAAAAGGAGTCGCAACTGAGGGATTGCCCAGGCATATCTGTTCCCACAGACTGATTGTTGATGGATGTAGGAAGGCCCATTCCTCTATGGGTGACACTATTCCTTGGGAAAGTAGTCCTGAGTTGTGTAAGAAAGTTGGCTAAGCACGAGCTTGTGAACAAAACAAAAAGGGAGCCAGCCAGCAATGGTCCTCCATGGTTCCTGCTTCGGAGTGTTTACCCTGATTTCCCTCAGTGGTAGACTGTGAAATGAGGTGTAAGCCAAATAAGCCTTGCCCTTCCCTCAGTTGCTTTTGGTCAGAATGTTTTGTCACAGCAACAGAAGGCAGCTAAACAGGTGGCAAAGGCACTTGGGGAAAGGAAAGGAGAGTCATTGTTGTGGCTCTTGCTATGAAGAGACACTGTGACCAAGGCAATTTATAAAGGAAAACATTTACCTGGGGACTTGCTTACAGTTTCAGAGTGTGAGTCCATCACCATTATAGCGGGGATCATGGCAGCAGACAGGCAGGCTCTGGAGCAGCAGCTGAACCTGACCCCCAGGCAGCAGGCAGGGAGAGAGCTAACGGGACTTTTGAAGCCTCACAGCCTAGTGTCACACCTCCTCCAACATGGTCATGGCTCCAAACCCTCCCTAAACAGTCCACTCACTGGGAACCAAACATTCGAATTCATGAGCCTTTGGGGCCATTCTCATTCAGGCCACCACAATCATTAAGTAGGTAACTTAATTCTGGTGTGTGTTTCCTGTAGTTATAACAAACACATCAGTGTCTTCCTTTCCTGGAAAAGGGCTGCTAACATTTAAGATGTAGCTGAATGCTTGTGTGATGGTTTAACCTCTGTTATGAGTAGTTTTCCCGCCATCCTGGTCCGAGTGCCTCTTCAGCCCCTAATAACACATAGAGACGCTGTATTAGATATAAAGTTGTTGGCCTGTTAGTAGGATTTCTTATTGGCTAGCTCTGTATTATTAATCCATTTCTATTAGTCTAAGTATTTCCACATGGTCTTAGCTTACCAGAGGATTGGTCTGGACCTCTTACTCTTCTTGGTCCTACATTTTGACTCCCCTCCTACCTCTCCCTGAATCCTCCTTGTCTCCTAGTCCCACCTATCTTGCCTTCCTTCCTATTTGCCAACAGTGCTTTATTAATTAACCAATAAGAGAAACATATTTACAGAATGACATCTCCCATCAAACCTCTCTCCATTTCATTGAACCAACCCACAAAATTCTTTTTCTATCACTAGGCTGAGGCCTACCTAAATGAAATGATAAATTTAATTATTGCTTCTTCTAGTGAGAGCTATTGGAAAGACTTGGGTGAACACACCTATCCGTTGAAACAAAGACAAGGGCTTAAGTTGCAGGGCTTCCTAGTCTAGAAGCATTTGGTTTTCTTCAGCTGCCTGAACTATGACTCTGAGCTTCAGCAGAGAGACCTACATCATTTGCTTTATTTTTCTCAAAAAGGGAAAAATTAGAACTCTTTGCATGGTTGAAATAACGAAATAAATGTCAACTTAAAAAATGGTAAGGAGTGGTGGGAGAGATGTTGTAAGCTTACATTCCAGTTGGTTTGACAGAACACTGGGAATGCCTATATCTCATACTTGGAGATCTCAGGAGCCCCTCCATTCTTTGAAATTTGCTAGACACCATCCTTCTAGGGAGCATCTCCTAGTTCCTGCTAATTTGTTCCTAGGCAGTTCCAAAGGCATTTCTGTGGTTATTCCTTAAATGGCTGTACATGATGACCATGTGCACATTGTACAAGATTTAGATTTTGATCAACTTATTTATGCAACCTGACATTCAGGTTTTATACAGTGAGTCAGGGTATCTTATCACCCAACCCCTCCAAATGAGAGAGTCACTGGAGATTTGATTAACTGCTGTGGGTTCTTGGGGCAGAACCATTTCTTTATATTTATCTTCTGGATTAAACATCTTTTTTTTTTAATTTTTACATCTTTGTACTCATTCATTTAATAAACATGGGATCAGAAGCAGGAGAACACCCAAAGCAAACATTCGTGGTAGTGACGTGTCTAGAGATTCAACTTTGATTCAACCAAACTCCAAGAGATTTTGGTTATTAAACAAAATTCAGAGGGAATACCAACCTTCATTCATACCTGGGTGGCCAAGTACAGGGAGCACAGGTCTTGGAAGCAAGGTTTCATCCTGAGCAAACCAGGCCAGCATCCCTCCCCATCTCCACAGCTGTCCAACACCTCAGCTAGTCCCTCCCCACACGATGAATCTTTCCTGATTTAAACATTCTTCTTTTGATTAGTGTTTTCTGCCTTTTTCTGAAATGGGAGATGCTTTAATCAGTTTTCTGGTGGGTTTTGTTATTGTTGTTTTTTTTTTTTTTGAGACAGGGTTTCTCTTTGTAGCCCTGACTGGCCTGGAACACACTCTGTAGACCATGCTGGCTTTGAACTTGCAGAGATCCACCTGCCTCTGCCTCCCGAGTGCTGGGATTAAAGGTATGTACCACCCCTTCCCAGCTTTGTAGTCTAATTATTAAAACTAATTTTACTATGAGGTATTTCACATGTTATTTAGAGTTACTGAGGAAATTTTAACTTTTATACATCATTTTATCATATTTATGCTATATTGTTTATGGAGATTTAAGTTCCTAACTTCTTGATATTTCAGGGTAATTTAAGTGAACATATTGATAAATATATATTTGTTCTCGTTTTTGGTTATTTTCAAAGATATATTCTAGCACTCTAGTCATCAGAATAATGAATGTGAACATTTTTAAGACTCTTGACCAATTATTTACCTTTGGGGTCTCATGGACAGGATCCGAGACTGCTCTTTTTTGAGGGTTTTATGTATCTGAGGTTGGCCTCACACTTACTATCTAGCTTAGGATGGCCCTGAACTTTTGGTTCTTATGATCCACTTCCCTGCACACTGGAATTATAGGAATATGAAGCCACACCTAGTTTAGGGGCTACTGGGGATCAAACCCAGGGCCTGGTACCTGCTAGAATACCCTAACTCCCAAAGCTCCATTCCTTCTTTGGTAGGCAGGATGGATGGTCAGCTGATCCTAGCTTTATGAAATGGGCACATCCGGTTTTTGTTGTTTTTTGAGACAGGTTCTCTATTATTGTATCTTTGACTATTTAGACCAGGTTGACCTTGAATTCACAGAGCTCCACCTGTGTCTGACTCCCAAGGGCTGGGACCAAAGGCGAGTACCACTGTGCCTGTCAGGCATGCCAGCTCTTAATGTCCCACATTCCCTAACTGTCTCCAGCAATGACATTCTTCTCCACTTTGCCCCCCAGATGTGATGGAGATGAAAGAGACAAGGACCTTGCCATTATGGAGATTTAGGAGCTGTGTGTGGTGGCACATACATGTAATCCCAGTATTTGGGAGGCTGAGGCAGGAGTGCCATGAGTTCATTGCCAGACTGGGCTACAAAGTGGTTTACAGGCCTGGTTTTGTTTTTTTGTTTTTGTTTTTGTTTTAACAAAATCTCAATTGTTTGATTTCACCAGTAAGACTTAGGAGCCAGATGTTGGGATGAAAGCTTGCTAGCTTGCAGAGGCAGAGGAAGCACCCAACTGACCTTCCTCAGCTGATGTCCCAGAAGCCTCTCCTTCCTACACCATCTCGGAACAACTCCTCAAACTGAATGTCTGTCTTTTCTACTTACTGTGTGTCTCTCTATCCATCTTCCCGACTCCCACTTACAAGCTGGTTGCTTGCTCTTGACCTGTTTGTAATATTCAAGCAGAAAGCTCTTGGATTAAAGGTGTGTTCTAGGCTGGAGCATACCACAACTAGAAACAGGTTTTCCCAGTAAATAATGCATTCTCAGGGTCCACAGTGTGATCAAAACTACCCTGTAACACCCAGTAACTGCCCAGTTCCTACTCTGTCTAAAACAACTCTGACTACAACAATAAAAAACCCAAGTAAAAAGCCAACAGAAAAGCAGCTTCAAGGCTTTTTGGCGATGCACTAGAATGTAGCTCAGTTGTTAGGGTACTTGTTTGGATTCTGTGATGCTCTGAGTTCAGCATCCCCATCCATATGAAATAAGCATGGTGGTCTCCACCTGTGATCCCAGCACTGGGAGGTGGAGGCCACAGGATTAGAAGTTTAAGGTCAGCTTCAGCTACATAGTAAGCTATAGGCCAGCCTGGGCTGCATGAGGATAGAGTCTTAGGATTTAGTATCTTTATTTTGGGGTGCAGTTAGGACAGAAAACATCAAAAAGAAGATATGGGAAAGTGATGTAGTACCTTAGAGTAAGGAGGGGAGCTCTAAGTTGATTTGGTGGTGACTTTGTCATTTGAACTGAACAGATGATAAAGAAGTAAATGGTGTCTGAAGAAACTCTAAACTGATATTGCCTTACCTGATGAACTCCTCTTGTTTTTACAGGACAGAAGGCATTAGCAGATGCCCAGATCCCTTATTCTGCTGTGGAGCAGGCTTGCATTGGCTATGTGTATGGTATGTAGTAAACAGAATGCTCTAAGATTATGCACATAAAATCTAGCAGCAAATTCATAAGTGATTGTTAAACCTCAGGGCAGAACTCACAGGTTACCTTTGTATGTTGACTCAGTGTAATTGTTCTTGCCATCATGGTATTAAAACAGGAGACAAATTAAAATGCCGTTTTTGGGGAGCTGGCAATATGACTCAGTTGATAAAAGCTTTTTCATAGCACTTAAAAATATTCCTTAGTGCCATGAGTTGGTGGTGCACGCCTTTGATCCCAGCACTCAGGAAGCAGAAGCAGAAGCAGGTGGATCTCTGTGAGTTTGAGGCCAGCCTGGTCTACAGAGTGAGTTCCAGGACAGGCTCCAAATCAATAGAGAGAAACTCTGTCTCAAAAAACCAAAAATGGGGGGAAAAATTCTTAGCTGGCCATGGTGGTGTACGCCTTTGATTGAGCACTCAGGAGGCAGAGACAGAAAAATCTGTGTGAATTTGAGGTCAGCCTAGTCTACAAAGTGAGTTCTAGGACATCTAAAGCTACATAGTGAGACCCTGTCTCAAAAACAACAACACAACAAACAAGAATATTTTGTTGGGCATTGTGGTACATGCTCATAATTCCAACAGTTGGAAGGCTGAGGCATGTGGATGTGTGAGTTCCAGACAGCCTAGTCTACATAGAGAGTTCCAGAACAGCTAGAGCTACATACTGAGGCCCTGTCTTAGGGGTAAAAGGAGAAATACTGGGGAGTGAACCTAGGGCCTTGTATATACTAGACAAACCATTTCCCCAGCTCAGTGTTGCATTTTAGTAATTACACCGTATTTTACCATCGAAAGCTACTAGCTTTGTTAGAAGTAATGGTATCCTGTTCTTCGATAATTAAAATAACTAAAATGTATAATACTACAGATGAATCTTTGTGCATAGCCATCATTTATTTCCTTTACTTTTCAAGATACCAGAGAATCCTAGGATGTAGACGTACTGGGGCAAGGTGTGTAGAATGCATGTATTGTGGTGGGACTGGCGTATGAGCATTGCCGTTTTAGTAGGAGACTCCTGGCAAGTTTGAACCTCCAGCTGCCATCACCTTGCTGTTCTAGCATTCCTGCCTTGTGAGCCATGTTACTTGAGAAGGAAAGACATGTTTGTACTCAGTGTGACTCATATTTTTCTGTAAGGCCTGGATGCATATATGAATCTTTAAAACTTAGAACTTTTTTTTTTTTTTTTTTTTTTTTTTGAGACAGGGTTTCTCTGTGTAACAGCTTTGGTTGCTCAGGAACTCTGCTCTGCTCTGTAGACCAGGTTGGCCTCCAGTTCAGGGATGTACTTGAACCTCTGATCCTGTTGCCTGCACCTGCTGAGTGATGGAGTAATGTGCATGTAACACCACACCTGACATATATAGTGTTGGGACTGAACCCAGGCCCTTTGCATTCCAGGCAAGCACTCTACTAACTAGCTACTTCCTTAGCCACAAAACTGAAGTATTTTTGGGTCATCATGGCGGTTTATAACCTATGGCAATCCTTCTACTTTAGCCTCCCAGGTAGTCAAACCTTACAGCCTGTGCTACCATACCTGGTTTAAATTGTGCAATGTCTGTAAGAAAAGTAAGTGGTGGCCTTTAGTCATTTTGTGATGGCCTTTAACAATTTATGTTTGAGAATCAAGTGTCCATGAACCATCATTTCCTGTATCACATACTCTGTGAGAGTGAATTATTTGCTGTTACCCTGGTGTGGTGGTTTGAAAGAAAACAGCCCCCAAAGACGCTATTAGGAGGTGTGGCCTTGTTGGAGGAAGTGTGTCACTGTAGAGGTGGGCTTTGAGGTCTCCTATGCTCAAGATACTCCCAGTGAGAAAGCCTACTTCCTGTTGCCTGCAAGATGTGGGACTCTCAGCTCCTTCTCCAGCATCATGTCTGCCTGTAGTACATCACCAAGTCCCACCATAATGATAATGGGCTAAACCTCTAAAACTGTACGCTGCCACTTCAATTAAACATTTTCCTTTATAAGAGCTGTCGTGGTCATGGTGTCTCTTCACAGCCATAGAAACCCTAAATCACCTTCTCCACCTCTGTATCATGTAAAGGAAGTGAAGCTGGGTGGTGGCGGTGCGCACCTTTACCCCAGCACTCAGGAAGCAGAGGCAGGCAGATCTCTGTGAGTTCGAGGCCAGTCTGGTCTACAGAGTGAGCTCCAGGACAGCCAGGGCTGTTACACAGAGACACTCTGTCTTGAAAAACAAAACAAAAAGTGTAAGGTGCAGAGTTGTGATTGGGGACATAAAGTACTAGGGTGCAGGTTCCAATCCTGACTGAAATGGGAGGAGACAGGAAGAGGAAAATGTCGAAAGTGCATGCTTCTTTCCTGCCCTGTGTGATGTTCAGGCCTGGAATCTCAGCTCTCAGGAGGTTAAGGCAGGAGGACTGCTGTGAGCACCAGGCCATCCTTGAGCTACATGAAACCTTGTCTTAAAAAAGAAAAAAAAAAATGCACATAAACATTTGTTGTGACTACCTTTAGTTTAGTGTTTGCACAATAGGAGATAGTCAGTGCTGTGGCTGTTTCTGACTCAGAGGTCATAGTGTATCACCGTCCTGCCTGTGCAGGACACTAGGGCAAACTGTAATAGTGAAAGAATTGGCATGAACTGCTGCGCATGTACTGTGGCATGTACTGTGGTGTTGAGGATCTTCCTTGTTTCTCTGTAGGCGACTCCACCTGTGGGCAGAGGGCTATCTATCACAGTCTGGGACTGACTGGCATCCCTATAATTAATGTCAACAATAACTGTTCTACCGGTTCTACTGCTTTGTTTGTGGCCCAGCAACTGATTCGAGGAGGTAAGGCGTGTTTGCTTATTATTATTATTTTTAATGTTCATTTTATTTTGTGTATGGGTGTTTTGCCTGCACATGTATCTGTGTATCACATGCTGTGACCACGGTGCCAGAAGAGGCCATCAGACCTCCTGGGACTGAGTTACAGATGGTTGTGAGCCACCAACCAGTGCCTGAACCACTGAGCTGTCTCTCTAGCCCCTATTATTTGCTTGTTGCTCTAATGTTCTTTTAAACTTTTTCTAAGATATTTGTTTGTTTGTATATTTGTGTCTGAACTCACCAAGGCACATACATTGAGGCCAGAGGACAACTTATAAAAGTTGGTTCCCTTCTTCCATCATGTGGTTCCTTGGGATCGGACTCAGGTTGTCAAGCTTGGTGGCAAGTTCCTTCACCCAAGGAGCCATCTTGCTGGTTTTGTCTTATGTTCTTAAATAAATGTGGGGTTGATGTCCCCTTTTAATTACTTCTCTGTGTTGCCATCAGAGAAAGATAGCTTCATAACATATTAACATATAAAATGTATTGCTTTTTTTCTTTAAAAAAGAACCTTTTATTATTTATTATTTGTTTTTGTGGTATTGACAGTGAAACTAAGGGCCTTGAGGACACCAGGCAAACACTGTACCTCTAAGCAATATCCTCAGTGTCTCCCAAAAGCTTTATTGAAATAAAATTCCCGTATCATGAAGTTTATTCTGATGAGGGCAGCCATCAGCATCGTGTATTTTAGAACAATTCGTCACCTGTAATGAAAACCTTGTTTCCTACAGTACGATCACAAGCTCTAGAAAACCAGCAGCGGTCACTCCTTCCACACCATGGCCCTCACTACTCTCTGTCTCCTGCTACCTGCTCTCTGTCTCCGTGAACTTACCTGTTCCTGTCCGTGGCATCTATGATACATTTTATTGTTTAAAAGTTCATTCTTGCTGGGTGGTGGTGGCACATGCCTTTAATCCCAGCACTTGAGAGGCAGAGGCAGCCCATCTACAAGAGCTACTTCCAGGACAGCCTCCAAAACCACAGAAAAACCCTGTCTCAAAAAAAAAAAAAAATCATTATTATAGCACATGTCAGTATTTTATTTCCATTTAGGGCCAAATAACATTCCACTTCATGGCCAATGTATATCTTATCCAGGTGTTCATCTTTGATGGCTTTCTTTCTTTCTTTCTTTCTTTCTTTCTTTCTTTCTTTCTTTCTTTCTTTCTGTTAAGAATAATGTTGCCTGGGGCTGGAGTGATGGCTCTTTGGTTAAGAGCACTGGCTGTTTTTCCAGAGGTCCTGAGTTCAATCCCCAGCATCCATATGGTGGCTTACAAACACCTGTGATGAGATCTGGTGACCTCTTCTGGCCTGGAGGTTGACATGCAGACAATACTATATACATGATAAATAAATTAAAAAAAAAAAAAAAAAAAGAAGAATGTTGCCATAAGCATTTATGCACAGGTTTTTTTTTTTTTTTTGGTGTGTGTGTGTGTGTGTTTTGGTGGCCAAATATTTTCATGTGCTCATGCATATGTCTATATATAAATATATTTTAGACCTATATAAACTATATAATCATATATCATAGTTTCTATTTCTAACAATACTCAACCTTTTATTGGGCCCTCTTCTAGTCTACTAATTTGATAATTGTTCCACTGCCTAGAGCTCTGAATTTTGGAGCTTGTAATCTTAGTGTGTAAGCCGGAGCCCTTCAATCTCTTCCAGGAACTTCCAGGAATCTTACTGTTTGATGAAGTCAATGCCCGCTTAATCCTTCCTTGCCTTCCCTCCCTCCCTCCCTCTCTTCATGCTGGTGGTTGAATTCAGGACTCCATGCCTGCTGGTAAACTGCACCACCCCTGAGCTGCACCCCCTAGTAGTTCTTTTTTAAGAGAAAAGTTTTGGTAGTTTTCAACATAATTTTTAGATGTCCTTTTCCTCCTTAAACAGTCTTGTGAGATTTTAGTTGGAATCCCCTTCAAATTTTAATTAAAATCATAATTAAATTTAAAATATTTAAAAATCATAATAACTTACATTTTTTGTTTATTTTATGTGTATGGATGTTTTGCCTACATGTATGTCTGTGTACCAGGTGCATGACTGGTACCTATGAAAGCCAGAAGAGGGTGTTGCATTTCTTGGAACTGGAGTTGGAGATGGTTGTGATCCACAATGCGGGTGCTGGGAATTGAACCTGGATACTCTGGAAGAGCAGTCAGTGTTCCTAACCCCTGAGCCATCTCCAGCTGCTGTAAATGGCTTTTTAATATTTGTTTTTTACTGAAACATTTCACACTAATGGGAAATTTTGTTAATATAATGAGACTTAGGGAAGGAATTAAGCACCTTCTTGATTTTTCAGTAGGTAAAGTGTGTACCACCAAGCCTGACAGCCTGAGTTAGACCCCTGGAATGCACATAGTGGAAGGAGAACCAGCTCTCCCAGGTTTTCCTATGACCTCTACATGTGCTGCTGGAGCACACGCGTGTACACACACACACACACACACACACACACAGATTAACTCAATAAATGTGAAAAATGATTGTCACTATAGTTTTTTTGTTTGTTTTTTTGAGACAGGATTTCTCTGTAGCTTTGGAGCCTGTCCTGGAACTCACTCTGTAGACCAGGCTGGCCTCAAACTCACAGAGATCCACCTGTCTCTGCCTCTGAGTGCTGGGATTAAAGGCATGTGTCACCACCGCCCAGCTGTCACTAATTTTTAAGTTATTAAATCTGACGGGGCTGGGAGATGGATTGGTAAAATGCTTGCTATGCAATTGTAAGGATCTGAGTTCAGGTCCCTAGCACCCAATGTAGAGTCTTGAGGAGGAGTGGCATATGCCTTTAATCCCAGCATTCAGGAGGAAGAGGTAGGCAGATCTGTAACTTCAAGGCTAACCAAGAGATACATAGTGATACTCTGTCAAAAAAAAAAAAAAAAAAAAAAAAAAAAAGAGGGGGTGGGTAGGGGTGGCAGGCATGGTGGCATATACCAGCAATCCCAGTGCTGGGCAAGTACAGACAGCAGCGTCCCCGGAGCTTGCTATCCAAATAGCGTGGGCAGAGCAGTGGGTTGCAGGTCCAGTGAGAGACCTGTCTTAGGTAGTAAGGTGGACAGTAGCTGGGGGGGACTCTTAGTATCACCTCTGGCCTCCATGTGCACACACAAGTATGTTCACCTGCATGTGTACCATAACATAGACATAAGTGTATACACATGGACAAATAAATAATTTTATAGGGCTATGGTATACCTTTTTATTTCAGGTAAGTTAACATACATTTGTTTATTTATTTATATATAATTTGGTTTTTGTTGTTGTTGTTTGTTTTGCTTTTTTTTTTTTTTTTTTTTTTTTTTTTTTTTTGAGACAGGGTCTGTCTGTGTAGTCCTGGCTTGCCTGAAACTCACAGAGATCCACCTGCCTCTGTCTCCCAAATGCCGTTTGATTAAAGGCATGTGCCACCACACCCAGAGTAGATTAATATTTAGATTGAAGTATTCAATAGTATTGTGTTGGGTTCCTAGAAATTTTAAATTTCAAAATAATTACATTTCCTTTAAGGTATGGCAGATTGTGTGTTGGCTCTTGGGTTTGAGAAGATGGAGAAGGGATCCCTTGGAGTAAAAGTGAGTCTCATTTATCATTGTTTTAACTTTATGAGAAAACTGTCCATCTTACCATCATAAATAGTCTGTAGTAAGCAACAGAGAACATGATTTGATGTTTTAAAGATACATATATTTTAAGATTTATTTGCACAAGTGTGTGTATGTATGTGTGAGAGAGAGAGATTCCATGTTACTTGTACTTGGGTGTGCAGAGGCCAGAGGTATGGGTTCCCTTGGACCTCCTGGACCTCCACAGTCCCAGCTAAGCTCCAGCCTGCCCATGGTGGCCTTCCTCCAGCCCTTCCCAGTCCCCACCTAAGCTCTGGACTGTTGTTCCAGTTTCCCACTCAGTTTTTCTGGTTTTTTTTTTTTTTTTTTTTTTTTTTTGCATTATTATTTTCATGATAATTGAGTCTCACAATTTGTCCCTTTTCTCCCCCAATCTAAATGCCTGATGCGCAAAATCTTAAGCTGACACATTCATGCCTTTATTTCCTGCATCTTGAAATAGTTACTGCTGACTAGTGGATAATGAATGTTTGATAAACATTTTTTTTTTTTTTTTAATTCACTGGGTCGAGAGATGGCCCAGCAGTTAGGAGCTCTGCCTGCTCTTCCAGATGACCTGCATTTGATTCACAGAATCCTGAGGCACCAGGAACACACATGGTACACAAAACATACATGCAGCCAAAACACGCATACAAACAAAATAAAAATATTTTTAAAACCTAAAGAGAAAAACTTAAATTCACAAGTATTTGTTTTGTGTGTGTGTCCTTGAGTGTCTTCACATGGCAAATGGCTTGAAAGAGGAAGTCAGAAGACTACTTGCAGGGTCTCTTATTGAATCATGTAGATGCTGGGGATCAACTCAGGTCATCAGACTGCGTGAGAAGAGCCTCCATCTGCTGACCTATCTCCCTGGCCCTATAAACAAGTTCTTAAAAGAATTAATAAACCAAGCATAGTGATTCCAGCACTCGGGAAACAGAGACAGGCAGATCTCTGTGAGTTCGAGGTCAGCCTGGTCTACAGAGTAAGGTCTAGGACAGCGAGGGCTATGTAGAGAGACCATTTCTCAAAACAAAAACAAAACCTGGGAGAAAGAAAAAATCAGAGTCTTGTGACTTGCTATGTAACTAAGAATAATTTTAAACCCTTCTACTCTACCTCCCAAGTGTTGGGATGTGTCACCATACCCAGCCTCTCGTGTTTTCTTGATGGTTTTATTCATTTTTTTTGTTGTTGTTTACTGTGTTCTCAGGATAAGCAAATGTCTTAGCAATAGTGTAAGTTTCAAGAAACACTTTTATGTCAGCTGCTCATTAAACTTTATTTTTTCTCTTTAAGTTTCCAGATCGGACCAATCCAACTGACAAGCATGTTGATGTCTTAATCAATAAGTATGGATTGTCTGCACACCCACTTGCTCCACAGATGTTTGGGTGGGCTGGAAAAGAGCATATGGAAAAATATGGTATGTTAACAAAAACAAAAACATCCTTTAGAGCAGTGGTTCACAACCTGTGTATCATGTTTGTGTGGGTGTGTCATACCACCCTTTCCCAGGGGTCCCTAAGAGCATCCTGCATGGCAGGATGCTTTTTATGATTCATAGAAGTAGCAAAATTACAGTTATTAAGAAGCAATGAAATAATTTTATGGTTGGGGTCACCACAGCACAAGGAACTGTATTAAAGGGTTGCAGTATTAGGAAGGTTGAGAACCACTGCTCTAGAGGCTGGGCATGGAGGCACACACCTTTAATTTCTGCAAAGAGGCAGTTGGATCTGCTTGTTGAGTTCCTGGCCAGCCAAGAATACATAGTGAGATCCTGCCTCAAAGTAACAACAACAGCACCACCTTCCAGGCTTATTACTAGTCACATCCATGCAATAAGAAATAGCAAGTTTTTGTCAAGGACATGCAGAAGATACTGGAATATATAAGATAAATAAAATAACTTTTAAAACATTTATTTATTTTTAATGCATATGGGTGTTTTATGTGTGTAGTAGTCTGTGCATCATATGCATGCCTGGTGCCCTTGGAGGTTAGAAGAAGACATCAGATTCCATGGAACTGGAGTTACAGGTGTTGTCACCCATTATACGGGTGCTGGGCATTGAACTTGGGGCTTCATGAATGTTAGGTAAGCACTCTACCAATTGAGCTACACTCCAGTTCCACCAGGGGTCTTTTTTGAGAACACTAATCCTGTTCATAAAGGCCCTTCCTAATCCCAGCACTTGGGGGCTAGATTTCAACATATGAATTTTGGTAGGGGTGTCAGCATTCAGTTCACTTCCTCCCTCCAAAAGCCCCATCTCCCAGTCATTGAGGCCAGGTTTCAACATTAGAATTTAGGAGGGGGGGGATATTAGAAATATCTTTGGGGTCCTTTGATAATGTTACAGATGAGGGCTTGACATCTCATTGGGAAGTGAAGAGGGATCCTGGTGTATCCATTAACTCACTGTGTAGCAAGGATGGTCATTTTCAGTGTTCATGTGTTTGAATTTATGGGTGCTGGCGGGTGATTGCAGCACCTTCCTCACACAGGCTCTGCTCTTCCTACTGCACAGCACTAGGGATCGAGTCCACCAAGCCTGGCTTTCAGTTTTGTTTTTTTAAATATGAAAACACTCTTGTCTTAACTAATAATAAAAGAAAAACATGAAAGCTCCCTTGATAATACCCTGTCTCCAGTTACGTTAAGCTTGGTAACACAGATGGGCAGAGTAGAGGAAATGGAAGTGTTAGGTGTTGCTGGTGGACATGAAATGGGAATCTAGCAATTTCTCTTCCATGGATGATCTGGCTTTGTCTGCCAATGTATGGAGGGTGTTTCTATGTGGTTAATATAATAGTACCGTGTGGAGAAGATTCCTCAGTAGAGCACTGGGTTAAGTAATCAACTTGGCTGTTTTGTTTTGTTTTGTTTTAATTTATCCCCCATATAAAGTTATAAGGAATTTTGCATCAAATTGTTTGAATATCCCACAGACCTTAAGTTTCCTCGCTTTCTATTTAACAAATGTGACCAGATTACAGTTTTATTTATTATTCTTTGTGTGTATATGTGAGTGTGTGTGGCTACTCATGTGCCAGGCCCTGCCTCTATCTCCATCTCTTATAAGTTCGTTGTCATTATAGGTATGAACTTCTACATCTGGATTTTAACTAGGTTCTGTGCACCAAACTCAGGGTCTGAGGCTTGTGTGGCAAGCTCTTATACCCACAGGGTCATCTCTCTGGCCCAATAATTTAAAAGTTGGAATTACCCATGGCTGTCAGTTGAACGATGATCAGTTTTGAAAGATAGAATGATTCATTTTTAGACTTAGGAAGAGTTGTTGCCCTTTATGGTTTTTACTTCCTTCCTTCTTTTTTTTTTTTTTTTTTTTTTTTTTTTTTTTTTAAAGACAGGGTTTCCTGGCTGCCTGGCCGTCCTGGAACTCTCTCTGTAGACCAGGCTGGCCTTGAACTCGGAGCTCTACCTGTCTGTGCCTACTGAGTGCTGGAATTAAAGGTGTGCACCACCACTACCTGGAAGTTTTCACATTTTTCTTGAAATAATTTCATAACTGCATAAAACAGTTCAAAAATTGCCTAATACTTTGTTTCTAGATCATTTATATTTTGCTATCCTTATTTTTTAGTATCTTTTATCCATATTATTATGTAACTTAAATATTTGAGAGCAGGCTAAGAGTAATGGTACACACCTTTAATTCCAGCCCAAGCAGGAGGATATCTGTGAGTTCAAGGCCAGCCTGATCTGCTTAGTGAGTTCTAGACTAGCTAGGGCTACATAGTAAGATCCTGTCTAAAAATAGAGTAACTTACAGACTTTCACAGCTAAGTTATAATAATCAAAAATCAAGAAATTAATATCAAGTAAAGTATATCATTGTCTATGTTTGAGCTATTGTAGGGGACTTGCTTGAGCCCAGGCCTCAAAGCCAGCCTGGACAACATAGGAAGACCCTAATCTTTTCCCACTTAAAAAAAAAAATTTAATCTTAACATGATACTGTTAACCAATCTGCAGAGTATACTATTAATTTCACTAATTTATCCCACAAATACCATTTCTGGCTCCAAAACTCCTCATTTTGTTGTTTACTTTTCTTTAAAAAATTTGGTAGGTGGTGGTGAACACCGATAATCATAGCATTCGGGAGGCAGAGGCAGGCCGATCTCTGAGTTTGAGGCCAGCCTGGTCTACAGAGTGAGTTTAAGGACAACCAAAGATACACAGAGAAACCTTGTCTCAAAAAACAAAAAACAAACAAAAAAAATTTACACATTTACAATTTAAAGTTTTCTTTTAATTGCCTGAGAAGATGGCGCAGGTAAGAGCACTTGATGTGCAGCATCAGGACCTACGAGTTCAAGTCCTAGGACCCATACATCCCACACATAGTACCTATACATGCACACACAAATAAACAAAAATTTAAAAAGAGTCCTTTATTCCTATCATAGGGGCTGTTTTGCCCGAGTGTTCACACTTGGGGAGGGCACTGTTCTTTTTCCATGGTGGCTTTTGAATGACTGTGGGCTGCCATGAGTGCCTCCCCTCTCTCCTCTGCTCTGTTTTTCTTCAGGCTGCTGTTGTTACCCCAAAGGTCTATGGTTGGGATTTGGCCTTTTTTGTGTGTTTGTTTTTCTTTTTTCCTAGCTTACAGAGATTTTGAGGTTTGGGCATCACCATTTTTCTGGTTTTGCTGATTATACGGTACTGTCCACTCATGCTTTCCCTTGTTCGTATTATTTTGGGAGGCTTTAGAGACAGATGCAGTAGCTTCCATTGACCTTGGATATCCTGGTACTGGTGTATTTTTAAACTTACATGTTTTCTTAAACTTTATATTACTTGGGATATAGCTTAATAGTTTTCTAGTCTAAAATTTGAAATAGTTGAATTTAATTTTGTTTGTTGGCAGGATCTAGTAGCCTGGGCTGGCCTGGAGCTCACCATGCAGGCCAGCCTGGAATTTGCACAGTCCTCTAGACTCCATCTCCCTCTGGAGTTCTGAGGTTACAGGCATGAACCACTGCTTCTTAGACTCTGACTTGATAGAATCAGCAGATTTTTTTTTTTTTTTTTTTTTTGGTTTTAAAATTTGGTCCTAGAGGATTGGAATCTTCTTATACTAAGCATATTCTTTGGACAGCTAAAATTATTTTTTTAAGGGGAACATTTTGGGTGGGGGACTCATGTAGTTAAGGCTGGCCTTGAACTCTTGATCTTTCTGCCTCCACCTCCAAAGTGCTGGGGTTTCATGTGTGTTCTTCTATGCCTGGAAACAGCCAAAAAACTTAATTGGCAGTTCTGACTTAGTGGTCATCAGCCTTTGATTGGGGTCAGGCTTAAGAAGTAATGTGGTAAGTGATTGGCAGGATTCTTTTCTAGTAGATGATCTTTTATATGTGAAATTGGATTCTGTGGAAAGCCACAAAGCCTTGTTTTGAAAACAAAATAAAACAAAAAACAACCAACGAAAAAACCCCAAACCAAATCAGAAAAAACAACAATAACTCTTCAAGTCTGTCTCCCTATAGTTTCTATCCATGGCCTTTATTTTATTTTATTCTCATTAGCCTTGGCTGACCAGGAATTTAAAGTGTAGACTGGGGCTGGCTTCAAACTCACAGACCCTGCTTCTACTTCCTGGGTACTGAGATTAAAGGCATGTACCACAGCATCTGGTCCTGTTTAATTTTATATTTTGAGACAAGGTTCAGTGTAGAGGAGGCTGGCCTTAACTCTTTATCCTCTTTGCTTCTATTTTCTGTGTGTTGGGATTACAGGTGTTTGGCACCACTCCTTGAAAACAATGTAAGTCCTGTACTGTGGCCACAAACCTCTGATGCACCACACTGTTATGGTTCATCTCATCTGTAGCTAAATAGAACCTCAGAAAAGAACCTATTCTATTGTGTCCTGTCCTTTGTCCATGTTGTTTGGGGTTAAAAATAGAACTGGGAGCCAGACACGGTGAAACATGTTTTTAATCTTAGCACTCTGGAGGCAGAGGCAAGCAGATCTCTGTAAGCTTGGGGCTATCATACTCATCATATTGAGTTCCAGGCCAGCCAAAGACTAAACAGTGAGCCCCTGTCTCAGAACACAAAACAAAACAAACAAACAAAAAGATCTGGAATGCATGTATAATTCACTGGCTGCAACTTTTCTAAAGACTCTTCTGCTATATCATAAATGGAAGTTGTTGGGGTTTATCAGGCCATAGAGGATGTGACTCGCACACCCGCTCACTCTGGGCCTTGGGGATATCTGGCAGGCACTCGGTCATTGCTGGCAGTACTCTCCAGCTAAGCACTATGGCTCCAGACGGTATTTTCTAGTTTTGAAACTGAACCCTGATTATACTAAATAGAATAGACAGTTTGAACTGTTTTTATATCTCATATGTCTCTTGATTCAATTCATGAAATGCTCAGATTTAATAATAGCAAATCATATGAGTGATTGCTGTCTCTAACCCTGATATCAGTGCATGAGAAGCTATGGAAATACTTAGCAAAACACTGAGTTCTATTGTGACATTTGATAATGAGCTGAAGAAAATAGCACATTGATTGATGTTTGCTTTCTCTGCAGGAACAAAAGTTGAACACTTTGCAAAAATTGGATGGAAAAATCACAAACACTCAATTAATAATCCGTAAGTACTTCAGAGACATGGCATGAAAACCTGATCTATCCTACTGTGTAATAATGCAGTTGTATCCTTGGAAAACAAATATAAGATCTCAAAGATATTAGCTTAGATGTTTATTTTATTTTATTTTTTGTCTTTTTCTTCAAGATTATTTATTATATATGCAGTGTTCTGCCTGCATGTTTCCCTGAAGGCCAGAAGAAGGCACCAGATTTCATTACAGATGGTTAGGAGCCACCATGTGGGTCCTGGGAATTGAACTTGGGACCACTGGAAGAGCAGCCAGTGCTCTTAACCTCTGAGCCATTTCTCCAGCCTGGATGTTTATTTGTTTGTTTGTTTTATAAAAGAAAGGTTTATGCCCAAATCATACTTTGTCAGCTTTTGCCATGCTAGTACTTGGCTTATTTATACTTAAAATACCATTAAAGCTTAATGGCTGTTTATTTATTTATATTTTGAGGGTTGTTTGTTTTTGGAGAGGGGAGATAGAGTTTGAGAGAGTAGCCCTAGCCAGCTTCCAATTTGTGGCAATCCTCCTGCATCAGTCTCAAGTGCTGGGATTATAGGCATGGTTTGTTCTATCTGGCTTTAATGATTCTTTTAAATGAGAGTAAGAGTGACAGGCATTAAAAAAATTTACTTAGGGATAATGATATAGGTTAGTGCTAGAGATTGTAATTAGCATATATGAGGTCCTAGGTTCATTTCTTTGCACAGCAAAAATTGTTAAATGCATATTAATTTTATAACTGCGATGAATTTCAGTCACTCTAGTGCTATTAACTTATTCTGGAAGAACAATATAATTATTTATATCCTAAAAATAATCTGAAGAAAATGATATTGGTTGCATTTACCATCCTGTGAATGCTTTGTGGTTCATATCCTGCATTCAGTGTTTGCTGGAGAAAGTGGTCCATGGGAACTGAACTGATTGATGCCTCATCATTGAGAACTGATGCCACACAACTGGAATCTCTGTAAAAGCAATGCCACACACGCTGGATCATTTTCTTTTGCCAATAACACCATATCACAGATTGGAGTTATAAAGAAAAGGAATTTATTTTGCCTTGTGGTTCTAAACATGCAAGTCACAGTTATACATCTCATAATGACAGGGCTTCTCTGTGTAGCCTGGGCTGTGGCTGTTCTGGAACTCACTCTGTAGACCAGACTGGCTTCCAACTCAGATCTGCCTGCCTCTGCCTCCTGAGTGCTGTGATTATATGTGCCACCATGTCCAGCTTAATAATAGCCTCCTATTGGCAGAATTCTAAGGAGGTACAGGACAGTATATAGTGAAAGACTAGGGTTGTGTATGTAGATATGTTTCTTCTGGTCTCTTGTACTTCTTTTTAAATATATTTTTATAATTTGCTTATTTTATGTGCTTTTATATGACTGTCAGATCCCCTGGAACTTGAGTTACACACAGTTGTGAGCTACCACGAGGGTGCTGGGAATTGAACCCAGGTCCTCTGAAAGAATAGCTAGTGCTCTTAACTGCTGAGCCATCTCTCCGGCCCCCTCTTGTACTTCTTATAAAGCCACCTGGATTCAATCACCTCCCAAGGTCCCACCTCTGAACCCCATCGTCAGATTAGTTCTCCCCCCTTCTCTTCTCTTCCTCCCTGCTTCATCCTGAGGAGGAAAAACGATTTGCTTATTTCCTCCTCCTAGATTACAAACTATTTACTTATTTCCTCCTCCATCAATTTATTTATTTTCTCTTCCTTGGTTACAAACAGTTTATTTATTTCCTCCTCCTAGATTACAAACTCCATGTCCTTAATGCTTAGCACAGAGGTAATCAGAAAATCGTTTCTCAACTATCGTTGCTGCATTTACTTATTTAATGTAGAATAGGGACGTTTTTATGCGCGCACACGCACACACGCACACACACACACACACACACACACGCACAGTCACCCCATATTTGTACTTCATGGAGCTGTCAGCTTTCTTAGGGCATACCAATTCTGTGTTGTTTCTTTTTGTGCCATTGTAACAAAAGCAATTTGAGGGAGATTTTCTTTTTGGCTCACACACAGTTCCAGGCCCATGGTTGCAGAGAAGTCACAGCAGCAGGAAGTTGAGGGAGCTGATCCCATCACATTCATTCACCCCTTTCTGCTTTTCCAGCCTGGGATGGAATGTGATGGGCTGCTTCAAGCCTGCAGCCTTGCCGTCCCTGTCATGATGGGTTACACCTTTAACTGTGAGTTAGGATAAACAATTTCCCCTCATTACTTCTGCCGGGTTACTTTATCAAAACTGAGGCAAATTCCATGCCTAAATCCAAGACAAATCCCATCTTTTATAGAAAACCTCAGGCTATTGTGAAAGTCCTGGTGAATCCCTTTGCTGATCTGGTAAGTTTGGACTCTTTTGGGTGATTCATGGCAGCTCTACCACGTTTTCCCCTTCTTCTGTTGGGAGCATATTCCCACAAAATGTAAGGCAATTGAAAGGCTGTGAGGATGTGCGATGAGTAGAGAGGACTGGGGCTAGCCTACAACACCTGAGCCTTTGCACTTAGTCTGACATTTCCCCTGGTTGGCGCCACTTAGGTGTCTTACAGCTTCCGCAGAGCCAGTGGGTCTACTCTGACTTTATCATCTCCCTCTACCCTGGTTTTCCTTCGCTGTTCTTCATCAGGGTCACTGACGTCAGCATATATATCCCTTGTCATCTAAGACAGGAAGCTAGAACACCTTAAGTCTACCTTCCACAGTGTTCCCCATGCAGCTGGGGATGACCTCACAGGTTCTGTCTCCTTACTGACCACCTTTGGAAGTTGTGCCTTTTCTCCATCTTTCAATTCCAGTTTCCCACACCAGGCCCTTTCATTTCTTGTCCTAATTACCTTCCCCCATCTCTTTGCTAATTTGCTTTTGGTAAAGTCATTTTTAAAAATTCCTTTTACATACCGAGTTTTCCTGCTGAAATATGGATCTCACCGTGCCATAGCCCAGTTTAATGCTCTGTTCCTCACTGTTCTCGGTATGAAACATGAGCACCATAAAATGAACTTTTCTGCTCTAGTCCTGGGTCATTCTCCTGTCTCACCTTTTTCATCTTGGCTCCTCATCCCTCCCAGACTTCAAGGCCCCCTGCCTGTCTTGATGAACCTTTTCACCTCAGGATGCTTTGCATATGCTGCCTCTTCTGCCAGGAATCCTCTCTTCCTTTTGTTAGTTGTTTTGGGGCATCTGGATTTAATGCACAGCTGTGTGCTCCCATACCACCCACATAATGTTTCTGTCATAGTATGTATTGTATTGTAAATATTAGAACAGAATGTTTTTCTTTCCTGTGGAAACATACAGAATATCTTGAGGGTAGGAACTGTATCCATGTCTCTTTGCCTAGCATGGGGTATGGCTCAAATAAGATAGTTTCTGGAAGTTAGTCATGGTCAAAGTTTATTTATTATGGAATCTGGGATATCACATGGGCAGGCCAGTGATTTTTCTGTTTCTTTCTGAAACAGGGTCTCGTGTAGCCATGGCTGTCCTCAAACTGGATATGTATCTGAGATCCTCCTGCCTCTACATCCTGAATGTTAGGATCGATAGCATATGCCACCAGTGTATGTGCTGCTGAGAATCCAGGGCATAGTAGAAAAGCACTCTAGCTGGGTGTGGTGACACAGGCCTTTGTGCACAGAACTCAGGAGGAGGCAGAGGCAGGTGGATCTCTGTGAGTCGGAGGCCAGCTTGGTCTACAAGGCGAGTTTCAGGACAGCCAGAGCTACATAAAGAAACCCTGTCTTAAAAGCAAACAAACCCACCCTGACTCTACCAGTTGAGCTACATTCCTAGTCAACAAGTCATTTGATTTAAAAATTAATCGATTTACTATTATTGTGTGCTGTGTGCATGATGCATGTGGCATGATGTGTGGGGTTCGGTGAACAACTCTGTGGAGCCAGGTCTCTGCTTTCATCTTTATATGGGCTCTGGGTATTGTTATTGTACTCATGTTACCAGATTTGAGTAGCCGGAACCTTTACCTGCGCCATCTCACTGACCCCAAGTCGTTTAATTTTAATGACTGGTATTTTGTAATTCACCAGGGGAGAAATAAGGTGTTCTGTTCTGTCATCTAACTGGTGTTATTACCAGTTGGGTACTTGTTACTTGGGTCTGGCATGTCAGCTTCTGTCCTTCAGGAGACTGACCTCACTTCAGATCCCTGTTGCCCATAAGTCGGTCAGAGAAGAATGGAGAGGAAATGATTGACTAGGGGCCATGCTTTGGCCATCTTCTTAACCTAATAAAGCCAGTTCTATCACTTAGGAAATGGTTTTAGAAGTTCTCACCTAGAATTCATGACAAACCCAGGCAGATTTTATTGTTGTTGAGACTATTTCAAGTAGTCTAGGTTGGCCCAGAACTCACTATATAGCTGAGGATGACTTTGGAACTTCTAAACCTCCTGCCTTCTCCTCCTGAGTGTTAGTGCCAAGTATAGTTAATGCCAAGCATAGTGGTTGCAGACATGTGCCACCATTCCCAACTAGGACAGACAGTTTTAATATACAACATATGATTTTGGAGTGGGTTTTTTCCCCCTTTATTTTAAGAACTTCATTCAGATGACTTTAAGGTTGAAACTTCTTAATGTAAGTTTGTGGGTTGTGAAAAGAAAATTCACATATTTTCTGTAATACTGTACCAAGATATCTTTAAAAAAAATTACAGTTGCTTTCTTACATCTTGTAACTACTTATCTTGTATTTAGGTATTCCCAGTTCCGAGATGAATACAGCTTAGAAGAAATAATGAAATCAAAGAAGATTTTCGATTTTCTGACTGTCTTGCAATGCTGGTAAGAAAAGCATGCTAACATTTCCTAACCATAACTAACTGCTCTCCCCACTGCCCATCTCTCCATGAGTAACTATAGGCTTTGTGTAACTTTTATAGAATTACCAGTGTCTCCTCGCTCTGGGTTACCTTCATTGTCCCCTCGCTCTGGGTTACCTTACCAATGTCACCTCGCACAGGTTACTTCATGAGCATATGCCTTTATTTCCTATTGCTGCTCCGAGGCAGTTCCCCTCCTGTCATGAAAAAATAAGTTTCACTTTTTCCTTCTCTAGTAACATCTACTTGCTTTGGGTATTCTGTGTGTATTCATTAAAAATAAGCCTGTAGACTTATAATGCAACATATGTTTCTCTGTGATAGATAAGAAATGAAGGAATCATAGCTCTAGTGATGCTCATAGTCATATCTTGAGACTTGCCTGTCACTCTCTTACCCTTCAAGCACAGACTGAGTACTGTGTACTGAGCTCTGGGGATACTGTTTGGGATGCAGTTGAAAGAAATGGGTCAGCTCTCACCTGTTAGTCTGAAGGACAGCCCACTTGAAACCCCTTCCCAAGCTGTTGAGGGCCTCCTGTGTGCCACCTAGCTTCACTGTGGATCTCAAGGCTCTTACCTCTGGGCTTTTTAATATCCCCCATTCTACCCTGCCCCAGCTTCCAAAAGAATTCCAGACTGAGCTCTCTGGGATAGAGCAAGGCTCGAGAGGTGTGAGTCCATAGCAGTATCTTCACAGTACTAACACAGGAAATGGCCTTTCAGACTCATTCCACAGAGAGTCTTCAGAATTGCTCCAGGCATCAGTGGGGGCCTATCCAGGGTTATTTCAGTGAGAATTTGAGGGAGAGACTGCAGCTTGAGCATGAAGGGCATTTGAGGGCTTGCTAGAGGCTCAGCCTGGTGGGATGCATGTGTAGTTTAGCAGTAAACACCACAGAGAAGACTGTGGATTGGCCAGGAGACAAACTTGGTCTTCCCTCCCCTAGCTCCCAGTCCAAATCCCTAGGAGATGGTGCAGGAGTAAGTAATTACTTTCACTTCCTCCTAGTCCCACCTCAGACGGTGCTGCAGCTGCAGTTGTGTCTAGTGAAGAATTTATACGGAAGTATGGCCTGCAAGCCAAAGCTGTGGAAATTGTGGCACAGGAGATGATAACTGACTTGCCAAGCACATTTGAAGAAAAAAGCATTATTAAAATGGTATATTTGAAATTCATTTTTTAAACTCAAATTAAGGAAATATTATTTTAAATTGCAATCTAACATTTTATTGTCAGCTCTGAAAGGTACTTATTTTTTTTAAATTTATTTATTTAATTTAGAAACAAGGAAGGTAACTTATAAAAACATGATCTTTAAAGGTTCTTACATAGCTCATTATCTTAGTTAGAGTTTCTATTGCTGTGAAGACACACCATGACCATAGCAACTTTTTTTTTAATTGTTTATTTTTATGTGCATTGGTGTTTTGCCTGCATGTATGTCTGTGTGAGGGTGTTGGATCTTGGAGTTATAGACAGTTTTGAGCTGTCATGTGGATGCTGGGAATTGAACCCAGGACCTCTGGAAGAGCAGTCAGTTCTCTTAACTGCTGAGCCACCATGGCAACTCTTATAAAAGAAAACATTTAATTGATGTGGTGGTTTATAGTTCAGTGGTTCAATTCATTATCATCATGGCAGGGAACATGACAGCATGCAGGAAGACATGGAGTTGGTTACATCATGATCAGAAGGCAACAGGAAGTGGACTGAGACACAAGGTGGTATCTTGAGCATATATGAGACCTCAGCAATGACACTTCCTCCAACCAGGCCATACCTGCTGCCTCAAGGCCGCACCTCCCTTTGGGGGTCATTTTCTTTGAAACCACCACACCCTTCCTTAAGACTCTGAAGGAGACAGGCTTGGTGCACTCTTTTAATTGGGAGGGAGAGGAAGGAGAATCAGGAGTCCAGGCCCAGCCTCAGCTGCATTGCTAACCAGAAGCTACTTAGGACTGAGCAATGGCTATAGTATTTTAATTTATTAGACATGCTATTCTTTTGGTTTTGTGAGAAAGGGCTTTTCCATGTAGCCCTGACTTTCTAGGAACTCTCTCTAGACCAGGCTGGCCTTGAACTCAGATATCCAACAGCCTCTGCCTCCCAAGTGCTAGAATTAAAGACATGTTCCCTTATTAAAGGGAAAATAAAAGATTTCAGACCTAACGTAAATTGAACAATTGAGATTCACCCCTCAACCACAGAAACAATTGTGATGGTAAATTAGAGTTTATAAAATGGTTTTTACAACGTGCTACAAATTTGAAATGCCCACATAATTTAATCAGTGTTTTAGTTTGGTCCTAAAATGTTCCCCATAAGCTCATGTATTACAGATTTAGTCCCTGATCCAGCAGTTTTGAAGTGGAGTCTTTGGGAGGTGATCCTAGGGGTTGCAACCTAATCAAAGGATTAATTTGCTGATGGATTCATAATTTAATGGGTCTTAGGGAAGAGGCTTTGTTGAAAAAGCTAGTTCTGTCTGCTTCCTGGCCTTGGGGGGGGGGGAACAGTCTTGTTCTACCACATGCTCGCTACTATGCTTTTTTTTTTTTTAAACCTTGCAATGGGTCTGGTGTGATAGCACCAAATAACCTTGGATTACAACTTGCAAAACTAGGAACCAAAATAATCCTTTCCAGTGGGCATGGCTGTACACACCTGTAATCTCAGCACTTGAGAAGTAAGGTAGGAGGAACAGGAGCACAAGGTCATCTTCAGCTGCACAGTGCATTTGAGGCTAGCCTGGGCTGCATGGAATCCTATCTAAAAAAAAAATAAAACAAACAAACAAATAAACAAAAAAGCTTTCCTGCTGGTCAGCTGTTTTCTTAGGTATTTTGTCACAGTGCTGGGATGTTGACCAGCAAAGCCAAGATCATAAAATTGGGTTATGGCATATAGATTATATTCAGGTTTCCTCATAGCACATTTTATATTATTTCTGTCTTATTCCTTGAATACAAATTGAACGTGGCCTGTAAAAGAAGGTTGCATGTTTTCCTATAGAAATTGTCCCATATTTTCCCACCATGTCTGACTCATAATGAAGTATTAAAGATTCTCTTTAACCAGTACAACTATACATTACGACTTCATCAGTACAACTATACATTATGATTCCATAGTTTCCATAACAGCAGAGATAGACGCTCAGAGATTCTAAGTCTTTTTTCAGTGTCTTATTTAAACTTTTGTAACTTATGGTATAAAATTCAATATGTACATTCTTCTTTTTTAGAGATCATTTTATTTAGACTTTTTATATAATGCAGAATCAGCTGAGATTTCAATGTATGTGATATGTTGAGCTTTTACTGTTACGCATGTGTCCTTGGCCTCTTACTTCTGAATGTATTTTTTGGTTCTAGGTTGGCTTTGACATGAGTAAAGAGGCTGCCAGGAGGTGCTATGAGAAGTCTGGCCTGACCCCAAGCGATGTGGATGTGATAGAGCTCCACGATTGCTTTTCTGCCAATGAACTCCTCACTTATGAAGCCCTGGGGCTCTGTCCAGAAGGTAGTGTCTCTGGGGAGGGCTTCCTGCCCATGAAAATCCCACCAAGAAGTGTTCACTTTCATCATTAAACAACACAAGTCACTAATTGCCTTTTCTCTGCATGTTGGCTCTGCCACACTGTGTAAATTGAGATGTAAGAAGCAAGTTTTGGTAGGAGAGTTTTTAGGACATCCGGTCTTTGACAACACCAATCCTGGCATAACAGAGCATATACTTCATTTATGTTATGCAAACGAGTACTTAGAATGTACTGTTAGATTTTGAAGAGGATTTGTTAGGTCTACCATCCTGAGTATTTTTAAATGGTGTTTAAATAAAGCCTTGAAGAAAGGAAAACAGAAAACCTGATTAGTGGGGTGTGAAGGATTCCTTCTCTAGAGCATACTACCCTTCTTAGTTATGAACTTCAGATCCTTCACTCCTGTGTCGATACTTGATGCTCAGTTGTTTACTTTTCAGGCATGCTCAAGAGAATATAATTGTATCTTAGTTTAGTCTTAATTTGCATATTCCTCATGACTAATGATACTGAAAATCTTTTTATGTGTGTATTAGTCTTTCATTTATTTTCTTTAAAAAAAGATTTATATTATCTTTACTTATGTGTGTGTATCGGTACCTGTGTGTGGGTAAGTGAATGTGAGACTTCAGGAGCTCATGGAGTCTGGAAGAGAACGTTGGATCCCCTAGGCTGGAGTTACAGCTGGTTGTGAGTTTCCCTGTGTCGGTGTTAGGAATCAAATTTGGGTCCTCTGGGGAAGAGTATTGCATGCACTTAACTGCTGAGCCGCCTCTCCAGCCCCTCATGTACCTTCTTTTTATGTATCATGTCTTTATAGCTATTTAAATCTCTGCCCTTTGGTTGTCTGTTATTTGTCTTTAATATATATATATATATATATATATATATATATATATATATATGAAGCACCGTATAACATTAATATATATACTACATACACATTCTAGATACAGGTCAGTGATAAACATTTATGTTGTGAACATTTTCTTCTAGTCCAAGAACATAGCCTTCTGTGTCCATATGGTTTAGATTGACTGTTTTATTATGTTTTCTGCTTATGTTCTATGCTTTTTCTTCCTTCCCCGTTGTCCTTCTGTCTTTTTTTGAATTATTTGAACATTTGTAGTGTACTTTTTAAATTAAAGACAAGGTCTTGTACAAGCATGGCTCATGCAAAGATGTCTATTAAAAAGTAAAGCATCTTATATATAATTTGCAGGGGGAAATGAACACAGTCAGCAGAAAGCTATCATATAATAGACAAAGTTATCAGGGACCTAGCTAATCAAACCATGTTGTACAAAAGGAGCATAGGAGATTGCAATTACATCACAGATCCAGCACACACCATCCTTGAAACTGGTAACTCTGGTCTCTTCTGAGGGAAAAAGCTAGGTTCCCAGGAACCAAACCCGTAACTCCCTTGAGGGCTCAGACTGGACCTGCCAAGTCTGCCCTGGGCAAGAACACAGAACTAACATTCCCTTTGTCCTTTCATCAAGGCCTCTGAGAGCCTTGGATTGGTCTGGCTCCCGACACAAGATCTATGTTGTTCCTTATTTTATTCTCTGTGTTTTGCCTGCATGTTTGTATGTACACCAAGTATATTTCTATTGCCTGAGCAGGCCAGAAGAGGACATTGGTTCCCCTGGGACTGGAGTTAAAAGCTGTTGTGAACTCCTAGGAACCAAGCCTGGGTCTTCTGCAACACCAGTGCATATACTTAAAAATAAATAAATAAATAAATAAATAAAATATTATAAGATAAAACAAAAACTGTCACATTGGAGTTGGACAAGGCAAATAAACAGAAGTAAAAGAGCCCAAGAGAAACCACAAGAATCAGAGAACCACTCAGGAATCCTGTAAAAACCACTAAACTGAAAGCTATAATCTGTACTCAGAGACCCTGGTGCAGACCTGTGCAAGCCTTGCAGCAATCTCTCTGGGTTCATATGCGCTTTGATCATGCTGAGTTAGAGGACCTTGTTTTCTTGCCCCCTTTGAGACAGGCTCTCAAAACACAGCCCTGACTGGTCTGGAATTCACTGTATAGACCAGGCTGGCCTTGAAGTCACAGAAGTCCTCCTGCCTCTGTCTCCTGAGTGCTGGGATTAAAGGTGTGCACCATTACAGTGATGTCTGATTTAGAGCTTTTGCTGTTATCCCACAAGTCTGTGGAACAATTTCTTTTTTGCTTTGTTTTTATAGATTTAGTGATCAAACCTGGAGACATGCACATTTGTTCATTTTTAAATTCCCTTTCTGCTCTGAGCCACTGGAGTGAGACTTTTTTCTTCTCTCTCACTCTGTCTTTCTCTCTCTAATTGAAAGTTTTTTTTTCTTTCTTTTGTTTTTTATTCTTTCGTTTTTCTTCTCCTTTCTTTCTTTTTGGAGACAGATCTCAGGCTAGGGATACAGCTCAGAAGGCACAGTGCTTGCTTCACATGTTGGAGACTCTGACTTCAGGCTCTAGTAATGAAAAAAAAAAATGAAAACAAAGGAACAAAGAGACAGGGCTCTTCTGTGCTGCTTATCTGGAGCTCACTGTTACGGAGTGGGCTTTGGCCTTGCACCTCTACCGCCACACCCTGTGGGTGTCTTGGGCATGCACCACCACATCTGAATTTAGTGTTTCAATTCAAAGGTTTCACTTTTCAAGCTCCTATGGGATTCAATGTCTAGCTTCTTGGCTCTGCTGAGAATTCCTGTCTTGGTGTTTGTTTCTAATGTGTGTCTAATGTGTGCAGCTTGAGTATCAGTTTGAAACTCCTTGATAACTTTGTAATCTTGACTTTGGGGTTTGGCATCTACTGACGGCCTTTCCCCATTGGGAGTCGGTTGTTTGTAGTTTGAATAATTTTAGGTGGCATCCTGGGCAGCATGAGTGTAACTTTAATGAGTGTCCTCTGGAAAGGAATGGTGGGGCACGTGTAATATGGAAAGTAGGAAGCCAGGCATCAATCTCCAGTGTTAAGCCTCAGGATTACCTGCCCCCCAATTTATATTTGAGACAGTCTGTTGCTGAGACCTTGGGCTCACTGGCTTTAGGTTAGGTGGGACAGCCAGTGAGCCCTAGGAATGCACTTGTTTCTGCCTGCCAGCACAAGGATTACAAGCACACACACCAAATCCATCTTTTTATGTGGGTACTGTGGGATTAAACTCAGTCTGCATGCTTACCTGCTTACTGACTGAGTTATCACTCCAGCTCCACTGTTTGTGATTTAGGGAGCAATCAGCCCAGTTCATCACCATGGGTTCTGTCTTGCTTTCTGAGGTGGCCACTGATGCTCATGTTTAGTTCCTGAAGTCTGCTGTGCTGGTTTGGGGCCATCCTGTGCATCCATAGCTCAGGAGTGAGCCTCAGGCTTACATAAGTCTACACTGAGAATCAGGGTGGGGGCTGTGCTCTGGCCCTCTGCTGTGGCCTCCTTTGCTTACTGCTCAGCCTGTGGAGTTTCTTTTCCTGGTTCTGTTGGGTAGAAGGGTGGGGTTTCAGTGGGATGGTGGCACACATCTGTAATCCCAGAACTTGGGAGGCAGAGACAGGAGGATCAGGAGTTCAAGGCTAGTCTGGGCTACTTGAGACTATCTGGAAAAGCCAAAAGTGGGGTGGGGTTGAGAGGAAGGGGGAGGCCAGACTTAGTTCTGTAGTGCTGACACTGCCTTTTTTTTGGCCATGCTGCGCTGTCCCAGGATACTGCTTCCCTGTGCAGAATTGCTAAGGATAGCCTGAGAAATCACAACTGGCATTTGTCCTATACAGCCACTTCCCCAAGATTTCCCTTGCTGATCTTCCTGCTTTTGTTTGCTTTCCAGTCATCTGGTAGCTGTAACTAGCATTGTATACATGGCTTCAATGGTGGTCATAGGACAAGAGCACTGTGAGGGGAGGAGCACTGAGGGGAGCACTGTGGGGGGAGGAGCACTGTGGGGGGAGGAGCACTGTAAGAGGAGCCGTAAGGGGAGGAGCACTGTGAGGGGAGGAGCACTGTGGGGGGAGGAGCACTGTGGGGGGAGGAGCACTGTGGGGGGAGGAGCACTGTGGAGGAAGGAGCACTGTGAGGGGAGGAGCACTGTGGGGGGAGGAGCTCTGGGGGAAGGAGTACTGTGAGGGGAGGAGCACTGTGGGGGAAGGAGCACTGTGAGGGAAGGAGCACTGTGAGGGAAGGAGCACTGTGAGGGGAGGAGCACTGTGAGGGGAGGAGCACTGTGAGGGGAGGAGCACTGTGAGGGGAGGAGCACTGAGGGGAAAAGAGTACCGTGGAAATTGTGCTTTGGTAGCGGAACCAGAACCCAGTTAAATATCATGAGTGATAATGGCTTTCAGGTTTGTATCCCAGCTCTGAATGCTTCCCTGAAATCTAGAATCAGCGAGCAAGCTGCCTACTCTTCAAGGTGTTACAGGGTTTGTGTGTGTGTGTGTGTGTGTGTGTTTAGAATAGAACTGCTAATATTTCCCAAACTTCTCTATCTTTGATATCCTCCAGTTGATCACACTAGAAACTAGAATCAGTCTAAGAAGAATTAAGAGAAGTTGTTTTTTCTTAAACATTTATTTATTGTTCATATGTGTGTGTTCGCACACCATGCGTATGTGCACACATGTATGTGTAGGGCTGCACACAAAGGCCTGAAGAGGCTGTTGGATCCTTTGGATACAGGATGTTGTCAGCTGCCCAAGTTTGTTTCTTCTCAAACTTGTTGCAAGAACAACAGGTGGCAACTGCCAAGCCATCCTTCTAGCCTCTGCAGAATCTATGGAGTCATCTTTCTCACACCACCCCCACTGAATCCGTCATTGAGTCCTGGTGATGCTGGGCCTGCCTTCAGATAAATCTGTGTACCACTTCTTGCCAGTCTTTGTCACTGCCAGCAGAGTTCTTTAGTTGTCATCATCTCACAGCTGGCCCTGAGTCTGCTTGGACTCCTTCAGTCTCGTCTCTAGATCCAAAGCAGAATGGTTGTGTTAGAAGCAGGTCGGTGTGATCCTCTTTTCCAAGCCTACTAGCTTCTCACTCACAGAGGCACAGGCCAGATTCTGTCTCTTTACTCCTCACCTAGGTGTTCCCAGCCTCTTCTCTCCACAGCTACTCACCTGTAGCCACATTGCCTCCTTTTTTTTTTTTTTTGTTTGTTTGTCTTTTGAGGCAGGGTTTCTCTGTGTAACCCTATCTGTCCTGGAACTTGCTCTGTAGACCAGGCTGGCTTCAAATTCACAGAGATCCTCCTGCCTCTGCCTCCCGAGTGCCACCGCTGCCCAGCTTGCCCCTTTGGCAAGCACTCCAGGTTCCTGTTCCCCTCAGGTCATGTGTCCAGAGCCCATGTGGTTTGTCCACTGCTCTCTTCCTTGTTCCCACTTTCACAGATTCCTTTCCTTCCTTGTCTCCATGGTGATGTGGCTACTCTTCATACTGTTATCTGGACAGCACCCAGACTGTTATCATCACATCTGGAACTCCCAGATCTTATATCTGATCAGAAAAGCGTTTGGAAAATATTTTATATAATACACACACTTTTATTTATTTTGTAACCACCATCAAATAGCCAGGGGAAAAAAATCATTAACAGGCAATGTGGAGGGCACCAAGCATGTGAAATAAATTTGCAGTTTTTTTTTTTTTTTTTTTTTTTGTATAGGTTTTGGTTTGAGACAGGGTTTCATTACATAGCCCTGGTTGGTCTGGAACTCAGTATGTAGACCAGGTTAGCCATGATCATACAAGGCTCTGCCCGCCTCTGGGCTGTGATAAATGGCCTGTGCACTACTCCTGTGACAGTGAAATATTGTTTTTTGTTTTGTTTTTGAAATAATGCTTTTTTTTACTTTTATGGTTCATCAGTGTTTTCAGTCTTTCTCCTGAATTTCATTAAAGTGAATTTTTGTTTGTTTTGTTTTCTTTGGTACTGGCATCAAACACTAGGACATGCACATGCTAGGTAAGCACACTACCACCGAGCCACAATTCCAGTCATGCTCTTTTTTGCTTTTTCAAGACAGGGTTTCTTTGTGTAGCTCTGGCTGCCCTGGACCTCGCACGGAGGACCAGGCTGTCCTAGAACTCATAGAGATCCACCTGCCTCTGCCTCCCAAGTGCTGGGATTAAAGGTGTGTGCCATCATGATCAGCATGCTATTTTTTTAAACTAAAATATATATATATATATATATATATATATATATATATATATATATATTTTACAGTAATACAGCTGAAACCAGAGAGATAATAAATGCATTTTGGAAACATGAATTTTGAAACTATAATTTTCAGTTAAAGTGTTGTGAGTGTTTGTTTTGATCATATTAGTTCTTTTCTGCCTCTCTGTTACAGTTGGGGCAATTTTGGAAGCTACAGGGCTATTAGGAACTAGTAATCGCTTTGTTTCATGTGGTACATTTTTGAAAGATAAGCCTTTATTGCTCAATATTATTACTTAATACTTAGAAGCATTTGTAACAAGTTATTAAGCTCTTAAGAAATGTTTGTATTAAGAAATCCTTTGCTATATGGAAAAGTTAGACAAACATGCCTCCTGTCCAATGCTATTTTTTTTTAACATTTATGAATGTTAATTTCTTTCTCCCATAGGGCAAGGTGGAGCATTGGTTGACAGAGGTGATAACACTTACGGAGGAAAATGGGTCATAAACCCTAGTGGTGGACTCATTTCCAAGGGACACCCACTGGGAGCAACAGGTAATGAATAATACACACAGATTTCAGAAGTTTTTACCCTTTATTATACTTCAGATCTTGATTTGTTTTAATACACACATGAAATTATCCTGACAACTTGTGGGAATTGGCTCTCTCTTTCCAATTTATGTGGGTCCTGGGGAATCAAACTCAGGTCATCAAGCTTGGCACATGAGTAAGCCATCTTGCTGGATCTTGTTTTGATCTTTCAAGACAGTCTAATTCTGTAACCCAGAGTTGGCCCAGAAACTCACTATATAGTTCAGGATGACCTTAAACTTTCAGCAAGCACCCCCTTCCACTCCATCCCTCCCAAATGCTGGGATTATAGGAATGAGCTGCTGTGAGTGGCTCAAGTGTATGATTTCAGTATCTGCATTCTGTTTTCTCTGAACTCAGTGTGACTAGAGCTTTTTTGTTTTGTTTTTTAAGATTTCTTTATTTTTTTTTATGTACATTGGGATTTTGCCTGCGTGAGGATACCAGATTCCTTGGAACTGGAGTTATAGACAGTTGTGAACTGCCATGTGGGTGTTGAACCCTGGTCCTTTGGAAGAGTGGCTAGTACCCTTAACTTCTAAGCCATCACTCCAGCCCTGTGACTGGAGCTTTACAGCTTCTTAGCTGCAATCACTTCTGTTTCCTAACAGAGCTTACCAGACTAGATAAGATTATTTCAGATGAGCACATTACATGCTGGCTAGCACTGCATGGAACTCATCTTCTCTTGAGAAAACCAGACAAGAAATTATGAAATACAAATTTTATTGTGACTCTGCTGCCCACTGGCCATGTAGTTCTTCTGACCAGAATTAATTACTTTGACTCTTAGGTCTTTAACTGAAAAATGACAGCTCTGTATTGCCATTTCTAAAATAACTTAGTAGTAAATTTCTGTGATTTGTTTCTGTAAAGGTAGATGGGTATGTTTTCTCTTTATTATCTTGTATGTGTTGATGAATGGAATATTTTAACTTATTCCAGTTTCCACAATAGGAAAGTTATATTTAACAACTATATTTATTAAAGCAGTTAGCTTTGCTTTATTTCTATTTAAAACTATTAAAAAGCCAGGTGATGGTGACACACATATTTGATCCAAGCACTCAGGATGAAGGCAGATCTCTGAGTTTGAGGCCAGCCTGGACTACAGAGTGAGTTCCAGGACAGCCAGAGCTACATAGAGAGACTCTGAAACAAACAAGAAGAAACCCCTTAGATTTTGTAAGCTTATAACTTAGTAGGAAATAGAAAAGCTAGATGAATTGGGGAAGAGAGAGGAATAAAGTGTGACAGGTTGCAGTGCTGTCAAATTAGCTCAGTGGTAGAACACTTGTGTAGGATGCAGAAGGCCCTGAGTTCTGTACCAAGCTCTTAGAGAAAAAAGATAGACAAAGGAGTGCCAAGTGGGCAGACTTGCGTATTCACAGGTAATGGCAGTATGCTGTGTGTGCTACCTTGCTATTTGTATTCGTTTGTCTCTTTGGTTCTTTTATTATGTCATTTAAAACATATACAAGGGTTTATTATTTTCTCTCTTCTGTGAATTACTTCTGTATAAAAGTTTGTCATGGGTGCTTCAGGATGTACAGGGTGCATTTCCTCTTGGCAGAGTCTGCCTTCCAGTAGTATTGGACCCCTCCCAAAGAATCTAAGACTTTTGTAAGATTTTCTTTTATATTTAATATGTGTGTATGCTCATGCGTGCACACATTGAAAAGCTAGGTTGGGCTACATGAGACCCTGCTATCAAACAAAACCATACCCCAGGTTTTTGTTCAAGTAAGTGCATATTTTGCATAGTGCCATTTTCACGTATCTTTAGATCCTTTAAGCTTTTTTTTTTTTTTTTTTTTTTAAAGACAAAATCTGCTGTTTAGTTCAGACTGGCATTGAACTCACAATATAGCTGAGGCTAACTTGGACCATCTTAGCCTGGCAAGTGCTGGGATTATAAGTGTGTGGCACTTCACCCAGAGCCCTGTATTCTTTTTAATGCCCACATCTTTTTTTAAGGCTTATTTATATTTATGCATACAGTGTCCAGTCTGCATGTATCCCTGCAGGCCAGAAGATCTGATTACAGTGGTTGTGAGCCAACATGTGGTTGCTGGGAATTGAACTCAGGACTCCTGGAAGAGCAGCCAATGCTCTTAACCTCTGATCCATCCCTCCAGCCCCATTTTTTTATTGAAAAAAAAAAAAATCACTTACTGACAGACATCTGGATTGTGCTAGGTTTATTCTCACAAACAGGTTGCAGTAAGCATGTTTGTATCTTTCCATACTTAACACACCTGTAAGGCACATTCCAGATGTGTCAAAGATCCATACTTAAAATTTGCTGAGCTTACCAAACTTCCTTCAAAATAAAATTATACCAGCATACATGCCTGTCCATAGAGTAGGGGATGTGTCTTTTTCTTTAATCTTGTTAACATTGGATTTTCTTATCAAATTTGACAATTTGGCCAAACTTAGCATGCCATTCAGTTGTCCTAGTCTACTTTCTATTGCTGAGATAAACGCCATGATCAAAAGCAACCTAAAAAATTATACCAGCATACATGCCTGTCCATAGAGTAAGGGATGTGTCTTTTTCTTTAATCTTGTTAACATTGGATTTTCTTATCAAATTTGACAATTTGGCCAAACTTAGCATGCCATTCAGTTGTCCTAGTCTACTTTCTATTGCTGAGATAAACGCCATGATCAAAAGCAACCTAGGGAGAGAAGGGTTTATTTGATGTTTCCACACCACAGTCCAACCTGGAGGCAAGAACTTAGCAGAGATTGTGGAGGAATGCTGCTTACTGGCTTGCTCTCCACGGCTCACTCGGCTTCTTTAGAGCAGGACCGCCTGCCCAGGAATGGCACTACCCATAGTGAGCTAGCTACCTGCCTGCCCCAGCCCCCTTGCCTCAGGCTAATCTGATGGCAGCATTTTCTCAAGTGAGGTTCCCTCTTCACAGATGACTGCAGCATGCGTCAAATTGACAAAAAAATATTTTAATTAAAAAATAATAAAATTAAGTAGCACAGTTGTCTTAAAAAGCCAGCCCAAAACAGGCAGGAATATAGATAGAATGTACTTAGTTTTAAAATACTTTGAAGGTAGACACAGACATATTGTAGTATCACTTTTTAGCCCTGTCATTCATGTGTGTGTGTGTGTGGTATGCATGCGTACATATGTGTGTGGGTGCACATGGGTACATGTGCTTGTGGAAGCCTGAGGTCAGTGCTATCCTCTTGGTTTTTGAGACACTGGCTTGGAGTTTACCAAGTAGGATAGGCTGTCTGTCCAGGGAACCCCTGGGATCCTTCTTTTCTTTGCCTCCTTACACTGGGATTACAGACATGCACTACCACATCTGCTTTTTATTTTTTGTTTGTTTTTTTTTTTTTTTTAATGTGGGTTCTGGTGATCAAGCTTGTGTGGCAAGTGCTTTGCTGACTGAAGTCTTCAAGTTGATCTTCAAGTGTTTCCAGGTGAGGGTAGGAACTTGAGTAAGAGAAGAACTCTGAAGAGCTCTAAGAGCTACACTTCTCTGTGGGTATAACGATAAGTATTTAGAATGCAGTTAAATTATATTGGATTAGGAAGCAGGGACATCACTGGTTACTAGTGGTTGGCTAGGTTATGGAATCAGGTGAGATTTCCTTCCTGTTGAGTGGGCCTTAAGTCTCATTAGACAGCAGTTGATTACCGCTAAGGATGTTACTATTGTACCTTTAGGGGATCACAGGCACCACAGCTGGGTAGGACTATTGGTTTCTCACCCCCTTTATGTCCAGCTTGCACAGCACCTTCTGGTACTAAGGTGGTTCTCAGGAAGGAGGCGGCTTTGGGTTAGATTCGGCTCAACTTGTCCTGTGGCCTAGTACGTGCTGTCTTTAGAAATAGGCATTTACCTTTGACTTCTGGGTAACAACAATGCCTTCATTGTTTGGTGACTTCTTAAACTCCCCTGACCAACAATTCAAAAGGAGGTTTCTCTTGCCTGGCACTAGGAGAGGCTTTATCAATCCCAAATGTATAACTTCATTTAAACAATAAGTGTGTGTGTGTAAATATAAAGTTAGATGATTCCCTGTGACTTTTCTTTTTCCAGACCAGGTTTCTCTGTGTAACAGCTCTATCTTGGAACTCGCTCTGAACAGGCTGGACTCGAACTCACAGTGATCCACCGGCCTGCCTGGATAAAAGGCATACACCACCACCACTGCCCGGCCCCTATGACTAATTCAAACATTCTTAGTGTTATAGATCCCTCCTCCCTCTCCATCTGTATTGTCTCCTTCTCCCCTCTCCAATTTGATCCCCTACTCTTACCCAAATTTTCCATTTTCCACTTAATATCCCCTGTATCTTTCTACTCCCCTCTCTAGAGATCAGTTTTATCTTCTTTATTGCTTTTCAAAATGTTCCCATCTCAAAAAAATTGGGTAATTTTTTTTTTTTTTTTTTAAACAGAATCTTACTATGTAGCCCTGGCTGTCACGGAACTCAATATGTAGAACATGCTGGCCTTGAACTTAATATATTGAGATATGCCTGACTCTGCCCCCGAGTGCAGGGACTAAAGGTGTGCACCACCACAATTGGTTAGATGCTATGTTTTCGATTTCAACTTGCCAGAAAAGAATGGGTTGAAGAAAGAGTGAGCACTTCATGATTTCCTGAACTCGAGTCTTTTTAGATCTCTTAGCTTGGGAACTAGCAGCGAATCTTGGGCTTTAAGTTCCTGAAGCGAGAGTGGCTTTGGCAAGAAAGAAGTCAGTACTAGCGGCTCGCGTCGTACCGGTGGGCGGAGACTTCGCGCTAACGCGGCCCGGGGCGCTCTGTGCTCGATTCGCCAGGTCTGGCTCAGTGCGCGGAGCTCTGCTGGCAACTGAGAGGCGAAGCCGGAAAGAGGCAGGTTCCTGGGGCAAAGGTGGCTCTGCAACACAATTTAGGCATCGGAGGAGCTGTGGTGGTTACACTCTACAGGATGGGTTTTCCTGAAGCTGCCAGGTAAGTGGCATGCCAAGTTTTGTCACTTTTGTCCTTCTGATTGTTCACCTATAAGAGACGCTTGCATATTTAAAAAAGTTCACAATTTAAGCATGTAAGGTAAAGTATGCAATTACTTCTTTAATATGACTTTAAAAGTTAAGACTTAGTTTAAAGCTCAGAGAACCTTGGGGAAATTTTGTTCAGAAGGAGGCAGTGAAGCCAGGACTGCTGACCCACAAGTCAGCAGAATCCAGGCAAGTTACCTTTTGGTTTCCTTTCCCAAGGTTGACTTTCTTCCTTCCCCTTTGGCCTCTCGGGTTGCTGGAGTGGTTCGGAGAAAGCAACCAAATGCATGTGCCATTGGGCCCTTGCAGACACATTTCTGAATCAGGCCCTCATTGCTGCTCGAATTCCTTGTGTCTTGCTTTCTTCCTCTCTGAAGCATCTGCTTCTTCAGGTACCTCTGTCCCAGCCCTCTGAGATTCCTCAACTGCCTTGCAGCCTCTCAGGGTTGCTCGCCTTCTCCAAGGCCCAGCTCTCCTCTGTGTGCTTGCTTGGTTTTCAATCTTCTGTAACTAGTTCCAGATTTGGTATACCCTCTTTCGAATCTTCCTATCTTTCCCTTCACTGGCTCCTTGCCTCTGTTACCAAACAAAACACCAGAAAATCTTCCCTAGTCTGCAGAATCTATTTTTCTTTTCTTCTTGCTTTAATTATCCCTTTTCACGGTAAGCCTTTGTTTGTTTGTTTGTTTGTTTGTTTTGGTTTCATCCAGACAGGGTTTCTCTGTATATACCTGGCTGTCCTGGAACTCATGCTGTGGACCAGGCTGGCTTCAAACTCAAGAGATCTGCCTGCCTCTGCTGGGATCAAAGGCGAGGACCACAACCTTTGTCCATGATGAGCCTCTTAAAAGTGAACCACCTTGTTTCTGTGTGTGCTGGGATACCTCAAGGTCTGGTCTGAGGTCAGGTGTGTTCTGAGCTGAATGAATTGATTATCCTTTACAAATTTTTCATCCTTAAAAGTTTTTAACCATGCTGTGGCTTTTTAACACTAATAGGCCTTCTTTTTCTCTTGCAATTCTTGGTAATTGCTTGATCATTTATTCACACATTTTGTTCTACAAAGGGTAGGGGCACGCTTATAGATTCCAATTTAGTCTTCACTTTTACAAACTTTGGGGTGTTTTTCCTCTCCATGGTCTCACTCTGCTTTATCTGCTTAGAATTTTAAGCAGATAAAGACCCATCTCAAAGACTATCTCCTTTCAAATATCCACAGCCTTTTGGAATCCTTAGGTCTACTCCAGTTCTGGTCTCTTGAGGCGTAATTAAAGTTGTGGCTCTTCCTGCCCCCTACCTAGGATCTGCCTCATAGTGAGTTAAGTGCTTTTGTGTCAAACAAAGGGGGTTGAATCTTGTTCTTCCTAAATCTGATCCATCCTTTCTGTGCTGATGAACCTGGAATACCATCCAGTTCACTCTACTAGTTGAAACCCTTTAGTAAAAGTCAAGCTACGAAAAGCCAGCACAAATGGTAGAATTGGCTAGATACTTTATTTTCTTCATAGTAAAATTAGGAAGTTTTCCACAGATTTTTTTTTTTTTGAGACAGTCTCACCTTGTAGCCCAGGCTAACCTTGTTTTAGAGGCAGTGATCTTCCTGCTTCAACTTTTGAGAATATTCCTGCAAGTTCTCACATGCAGATGATGCACATCAGTAATTACCACTGCAGTTAAAGATGCAGGATGATTCTGTGACCTGCTTCCCTTGTCCTCTAGTTCTTCTTTTCTGAGACAGGGTCTCACTGTATATCCCTGGCTGTCCTGGAACTCGCTGTGTAGTCCAGGCTGGCCTCGAACTCACAGAGACCTGCCTGCCTCTGCCTCTGAGTGCTGGGAGTAAAGGCGTGTGCCACCATGCCCAACTCTTTCGTTCTTTATGTTCCCTTCCAACAATCCTTGTTCCACCTTCTTTGCAAGCCCTGCTCTGTTTTCTGCCCCTGTACTTTGCCCTTTTTATGAATGTCAGTTTGTTCATTAAAGAGGCAAAGGGACACTTCTTTAATTGTAGCACTCACTGATGGTTTTCTAACTTTTTCTTCTGTATTTACTAACTGATACCCTGCTTTAAGGAAGAACTTTCCCTCTCCTGTTTTTAAATGTATTTATACACTGTATGAAGTCACGAGTCATTATTTTACCCAGGGGTCTTTACTCCTTTAGTATCTGTTGTTTTGGTGCTGACAATGTCTCTGGTTTGGCCAGTGGGAACCCCCTCAAGCTGACACTTGTGTCCCATGATTCTTTATAGTACTAACTCTCCCTTTTTTTTCTGGCTCAAGAAGATGGCCCACTCTCCTTGTACTTTTTAAATTTTTTAATATTTGTGTGTGTGTGTGTGTGTGTGTGTGTGTGTGTGTGTGTGTGTGTGTGTGTTTAGGTATGCAGACCATGCCATCTGGACTCATCTGCCAGCTCTGAGGTCAAAGGGACTTGGCTGGTTGTTTGTGAACTTTACTCGACAGTGCTATCACACATTGCATAACCCTCTCTAATCAGAAAAGGCAATGACATGATGACCCGTTACCTATTATATTTAAGACTGAATGACTGAGTTGGAGGACTTTTGTATTCATCTCAAATACTAAGAATAACTGCTAACCCTTTTTAGAAATGATTTTAAACTGCTCTATTAAGACACACTTTACAGGCTGCACAGCTCACCATTTAAAGTCTTTTCAGTGATTTATAGGGTTATCCTTACCATGATTCGTTTTAGAACATTTTCACAATCCCCCCCTCCCACTCCCCAAACACATACCCCAAATGCTTTCACTTCCAGTGTGTCTCATTTGTAGTCTGACAACTCTCACCCTCTCCCTGTCTCTAGATCTGCCACTCTGCATGTTTCATATACAGAAAGTTGTATGGTATTATTCTTTAATGTTGGCTTCTCTGATTTAACATAGCATTTTCAAGGAACTATATTCCTTTTGAAGGCTGAATGATACCTGCATGAAAGCCTTTCCTTACTCGTCATTACTGGTTGTTTTTATTTTAGCGGTCCTTGTGCATGTGAAGTGATACCTCACAATTTTGCTTGCATCTCCCCAAGAGCTAATCATTTTCTGGAGACCATTTCCTGGGCTGCTTATTTGCTATTTGTGTGTCATAGTTGGAGAACTGTCAGTTAAAGTCTTCATCAATGTAAATTATGGGATATTGTTGGATTGCAAGAAGTCTTTTTAAAGGCCTGGTATGTGCCATGATCACTCTAGGTGCTTTGTATTAACTTTTCTTTTCTTTTCTGCCCATGCTGGGCATGAAACCCAGGACATTGTGTATGCTAGAAAAACGTCTCATCACTAAGCAATACTTCCACAGACGAATTTCTTTGAATAAAACCCCACGTGGTAGGTAGTATTAAACTCACTATAGAGAAATTGGAGATCAGAGTTAAGACAGTTTAGCTAAAGAAAGTTTCAGATTTCGAAGTAAGGTCTTAGCCACCATCACAGTGTAAAGTTGATGATACAGAGCCTGTGAAGGTGTTACAGTGAAATTTGCCATGTGTCTAGTAGGAATTCAAACACAAGCTAGAATATTCTTTAAATTAATCTTTAAGCCTCTTCCAACATTATCCACTAGTAGACATATTTCAGTAAACTTGTATTTACCAAATTCAAATGAAAACAAATTAACTTAGTTTCTACTAAAATTTTTCTTTTTATCGAAAGAAGTTATGAGACTGTAGACACAATGGTATGCATACACCAGTACTCAGGAGGCTGAGGGGAAGATCACTTAAGCTAGCCTGGGCAACGCAGCAAGACAAAACAAAGTAAACAATAAAACAAAAAGAAATCAGGAGAAACATCTTCTGTGTGAGAGCTGTCTGAGTTTAAGTTATTCAATTTATTTTTAAATAATGCATGTATTAAGTAACTTGCAAGGAAGGATATTCAGAAAATACTAACAGTAATTTGTGTGTTAACCATCTTCTAATCTAGATGAAAAGTTGGTTAATCAGTGATAAGCTTTTTCAAACAAGGGAGACCTTAACCTTTGGAAATATATCTGGACCTGCCATATAGTCAAGATATTTTGTACACTTTTGGACTGCCAGGATCGATTGCTTTACCAGATAGAGTCAAGAAGTGTGTAGTTGGGAAAAGGGCACATTGATGATTAAAGGTTAAAAAAACAGACTTATTTATTTAAGAGAGGGTTTCAGTATATAGCCCTGGCTGGCATGGAGCTTACTGTGACCCAGGATGGCCTTGAATTCACCTCTGTCTCTGAGGTGTTGGGATTAAAGATGTGTGCCACCACATGAGGCAATTTTTTTTTCCTTAAGAGTCATTTATTTATTTTATATGTATGTCTGCTTTGTCTGAATGTATGTTTGTGAACCATATTCATGAATTGCCTGTAGAATGCATTGGATCCCCAGTAACTGGAATTACAGATGGTTGTGAGCCACCATGTGGGTTCTGGGACTGGAACCTGGGTCCTCTGAAAGAGCAGCAAATGCTCTTAACTGCAGAGTCACCTCTTTAGCCCCAGAGTTTCAGTGTTTCAGTTTTATAAGATGAAAAGGGTTATTATAGAGCTGCATGGTGCTGATAACTGCTCAAATTCTAAAAACATTTAACATCACTGAACTGCACAGTTAAAAGTAGTTTGGGTAAGCTGGGCATTAGTGGCGCATGCCTTTAATCCCAGCACTCAGGAGGCAGAGACAAATGGATCTCTGAGAGTTCAAGACCAGCCTGGGTCTAAAGAGCTAGTTCCAGGACAAGCTCCAAGTGCTGAGATTGCAAGTGTATGCCACTAAAATACTGGCGAAGATCTTAAACGCTCACAGGACTGTTTTGTGCTTATACCCAGAAGGAATCTGCATTTTTAAAGAGATTACCCAAAGATTCTCTTTTTTGTCCCACCCCAAACAAGCCTTTATCCTTCCTAGCTATCACTGCTCCAGGGAAGGATTCAATTCACTGTTCCATACAAGGCCAGTGTGGTCTACAGAGCCAGTTCCAGGACAGACTCCAAAGCAATACAGAGAAACCTGTCTTGAAAAACAAACAACATCAAAACAACAAAACCCAAAACAACCACTCCCAAAAGAAAACCTAACCCCCCCAAAACAAAACAAAACAAAACAAAAAAACCAAAACCCTGAAACTTGGTGAGGTTGGTGAGGGGGGTTGGTTTGTTAATTTGCCTGCTTTTTGTTTTGTGGTGAGGGTCCAGTCTGGACCATTAAGGATGCTAAGTGCATGTTCTGCCACAACTACACGTCAACCCTTTAAGCTGAAATGAAAGGGTTTGGGGACATACTAGTGACAGAGTGCTTGACTAGCATGCCCAAGAGTCTGGATTCTATCCCCAGCACTGCAAATAAGTGGATAAATAAACAGGCAAAAAGGAAACCAAAGAAACAAAAAGTACTGGACCAATTACCTAAGGCCTGGTTCTGTTCTCTGCGCTTTGGTTTCTCACTGCCTGCCTTTCTCCTCTGCAGTAACCATGGCAGTCTTGTATCTCCTTTAGCTTCCTTGTATTTCCTTTCTCACCTTTAGACCTAAGGTCCTTCAAGCTAACTTTGGCTTCTCCACCAAAACTCTTTGTAGGGTTGGTTCGGTTAGCATTGAAGATGTAATGTAAATATTACCTTCCTGGAGGAGCTCCTTGTGACCATTATCTACAATATCACACCTGACATAGATGTCCCTTTTTTCTAGTGTCTTAGCTGTTTTTTTGTTGTTGTCTTGTTAAAAATCTCTCTGGCATGTGAGTTTCATAAGGGCAGCTTCACCTAGTGAGAACTGTCTTTCTTGCAAGATGGAAGTTGGGTAATTGGTCTGGTTTGTCTAGGGGTATGATTCTCGGTTTGGAAGTTGGGTAATTGTTTTCTTTAGGTCAGAGTTGCAACATCTCTGTCCTTGGGCTTTTTGAAAGTTACTGTTGCATATATGTTGGAAACCCAGATACCTCTGTGACTTCCAGAGCTGACACTGATTCCTTCCACAGCTCCTTCCGAGCTCATCAGATTGAGGCTGCACCCACCAGCTCTGCAGGTGATGGATTCAAGGCAAACCTTGTCTTTAAGGAGATCGAGAAGAAGCTTGAAGAGGTAAGAAGCCAGTACTGGGGTTGGGAGGCACAGGGTTTCAGCTGATGCTGGCGGCAGCACAAGGTGAAATGTCATGTCATGTGTTTCAGAATCCCTGTCTCACAGGCTTCTTTGTAATTCTAGCAAGACTGCAGTTTGAAAATGTAAACATCTCCAGATTTGTTTTATTTTATTTATTATTTTTATTTGTTTGTTTGGGTTTTTGGTTTCTTGAGACAAGGTTTCTTTGTGTGTAATCCTGGCTGTCCTGGAGCTCACTCTGTAGGTCAGGCTGACCTCCAACTCAGGGAGATCCAACTGCCTCTGACTCCCAGCTGCTGTGACTAAATGTATGTACCACCACCACCCAGCACACATCTCCAGGTTTGAATGTAAACACTATAGAAAATAATGTTTCAAATCATTTCATTTTAGTCTTTGTCAGGAAGATAACCTGTGGGTATAGTTCAGATGTTCAGATGCAGGGAGCCTCGGTTGATATAACTTTTTTTTTTTTTGTCTTTTTGAGATAGATTGCTGGCCAGAAAAATACAATAGTCCTTTGGCTTCAGCTCTGAAGTACTGGACTTGACAGGGTAGTCATCACACTCGGTTTTCAAAGTCTTTTTTTATTTGCTACTTCCTTCTTGCAAAGAAGAACTCTAATTTTTAAAATTCACATAATACAGGAACAGGTAATTTCAGAGGTGGTTGGGTTCCCAGCACCCATATAGTGACTTGAAACAGTGGGTAACTCCAGTTTCAGGGGATCCAGCACCTTCTTCTGCCCTCCAGGCACATGTTCATGTACTTATAAAAATGTAACCAAAACATTTATACATGTTAGAATCTGGATACCCTCACATAGTCACGTATACAGGTAAAACACCGATGCATATCAAATAAATAAATAATAAAAAATCTATCATTTTCATAAATATCTAAATTTATTAACAATATGATATTTGAAAAATAAGTTTAAAAAGTAAATCTTTTTAAACAAGAAAAGAAAAATGTCAAAATTTCCCAGTTGCACCACTTAGAGTTCACTAAAATGTTAGCATAATAAACTAGACTAAAATGTAAAATGCATACACTTAGCTACCCATATGATACATGTTGGGTTTATTGTACTATACATGAAAATCTATGTTATGTACCATAATTAGTTATTTAAAAATTTTTTTAGATTTATTTATTTAGTGTGTATGGGTGGTGTTTTGCCAGTATGAACTAGAATTATACTGTGTGTGTGTGTGTGTGTGTGTGAGAGAGAGAAAGAGAGAGAGAGAGAGGAGAGAGAGAGAGAGAGAGAGAGAGAGGAGAGAGAGAGAGAGAGAGAGAGAACACTGCTGTGTGGGTGCTGGGAGTCGAACCCAGTTTCTCTACAAGAACAAGTGCTTTTTTGTTGTTGTTAAGATTTATTTATTTTATGTGTGTGAGCACACACAATGGGCATATTTCATAAGTCCCTTAATGTAGGGCGGAGGACTTCTTAACAGCTGTCTGCACTGTGGCTGGTGTGCCTTGTGAAAGGACCAGCATTCCCTAGCCCTTCCAGGGCTGGAGCAGGGCCAGGTGGATGGCATGGCACTGGGCCTGGAGCTGCAGGACCGTCAGGCTGCCATCTTGGGGGATGACCTCATCCAGTTTTCCCCTATAGTATGCTTTGTGGCCAGGTATATAGGTCTGTAAGAGCATGCTTTTTAGCTCATTATACATATGTGCCACAACTTAATTGACTTATGATGACTATCAGATTAAATTCAATTTTACAAGTGCAACATTGCTGTTATAAATTTCCTCTTGTACTTCACGTACAAGTAGTTTAAATAATTAAGGACAAAATTGGGTAGTTAAATGTGTGCATTTTACATTTAGTCTAGCTTGCGAGACTCCCACCAGAACTAGGGATATAATTTGCCAACTTACTAACAATTCAAGAGAATAACTGCTTCTTTCTCTACACCTTCTTCAATACTATATTTGTTTATTATATAAAAATCTTCACCAGCCAAATCAGAAAATGATAGCTCACTATTGTGTTTTGAATGCCTCTCATTATTGAAATGTCCACTGTAAAATGAGGAACTCTATGAGGACTTAGTTCAAAGGTCAAATAGGAGATTGGGTTAGAGATTACCTACTGTGCAGTCTGAGGTCAGCCATGGGTCCATCATGGGGTAACAAAGAGGTCCCGTTTCAGTTTCCCACTGTGCTTTTAGCTGTGCAGGCTTATGCCTCTTGCTCTCATGTTAATTCTGTACTCCTCCATAACCTCACCTGTAGGCTGTTTTCACCTTCCCACGATTCCCACGATTGTCAGTTTCCTCAGTGTTTGTAGTGCTGGAAAGTGAAAGTCTGGACTCTTTGTCAATTAATGCATTTTGTGTTTTAGTAGAGGCAACTTAGCAAGAGGATTCATTTCCGTCTTTGTCTTTCTTACCAATACTTCACTGGCATTCTTTGAATTCTGTCCTCATTTTTTGTTCTATTGTGTTTACAGCAGCACCTACTCCCTGACCTTCATTCCACTCAGAAAGTACATTTTCTCTCACAAGAGGCACTTAGGACTTCTTGGTAATAGTACTCTCCAGTTTTGCAACTGTTTTTTTTTTTTTTTTCTTTTTTAATTCTCTTACCCACTTTCACTCTGATTTCAAATGAAAATGTTCTATTGACTGGAGTATGGGTGTGTAAGAGGATCAGTTGGTTTTTGAAAGGGAGCAGCAAGTACGAGTTAACTCACATCTGTTTTAAGCGGTGGGAGCTGAGTGAGACTGTAGGATTTCTCGGGCATTTAGAGGGTAGAACTTGTAAATGTTTGCTAGGGTTTTCCTGCTGTAACTCGGTGGTGTCTGCTCCTGGCTGGTGCACTGTGCAAGCAGATGGACACATCTGGAAGTAGTCATTCACTGACCGCTGGCCCCAGAAGAAACCTGGCTAGAGTTTGATCTGTAGGGTTGAGGGGAATGAGCCTGTGACTACTGAGAAAAGTAGGGACAGGCTAAATGCTTTAGCATAGCTACTTTGCTGTAAGACCCATGGCTGCTTTCTTGTAGGCTGGACGGTAATAAGGAAGAAATAATAGGAAAGGCTGATTTTCTCTATGAGAAAAAGACTAACACACCCAGTCAGCTGAGTAATAGAAGGTAACAATCAGTGATGAGGATGTAGAGAAATTTGAACCCTATTCATGGCTGCTAGGGTTGCAGTATTGATTTAACTACTTTAGAGACAGTTGGTTAGTTCCTTTAAGAGTTAAACAGCACTTAATGATCCAGCAATTTCCTTCTAACTACCTCGCTAAAAGAAATTAGAGATTTTTTTTTTCTACATAAAATGTGTATACAAATGTCTATGGCAATATTCATCAAAACCAAAATGTGAAAACAACTAAAAGGGGGGCTGGGGAGACAAGGCTTGAGTTGAGATTCGCTGAGCACTAAAGGCAGAGTGTAGCGGGGGCATCTAACATCTGCTGTTTGTGGGGAGAAGACACACGGATCCTGGGAGTTTGACGGCTAGCTAGTCTAGCTGAAACATTGAACTCTAGGTCCAGTGAAAGACCCTGTCTCAAGAAGCTGGTGTGGTGGAGCACTCTTTTAATCCCAGCACTTGGGAGACAGAGGCAGGCAGATCTCTGTGAGTTTGAGGCCAGCCTGGTCTACATAGTGAGTTCCAGGGAAGCCAGGGCTACTTAGACTTGAAAAAAACCAAACAATAAAAATAAAAGAGAAACAAAGTAGAAAAGCAGGTGAGAAAGACATCAGCCTCTGGCATCCACGTGTGCCTGCATGAGTGAGCACAGCATTCACCACACATGCATACAGTATACCAAAACCAAAAATAAACAAAGTAAGCCACATTCAGTGGAACATTTTACAACCATAGAAAGGAAAGGAGATTAGGGAGTGGTGCTGGTTGATACACAATCCAGCATGAACCCTGAGAACATGCTAAATGAGACAGGCCACTCACAAAAGAACACACTGTATGTTCTATTTATAGGAAATTCCCAGAATGAGCCCGTCTATTGCGGTTTTCAGAAGCTAGTACCAGAAAATGGTGACGGACTGCAAATGGGTATAAGTGTGCATGAGAAAATGAGAATGTTCTGCAATTGATTCATGATGTTGGGGTGGCACATTGTGTGTCAGTCACTCTCCCCTTCTCAGTGACCACATACTTGACGCAGCAGTTTAAGGAGAGAGGGTTTATTTTGGCCCATGGTTTAAGAAGGGCACAGACTGAACACGGTGGGAAGGCCTAGGGGCAGAGCGTGAGTCACATCACATCTGCTTCCAGCAGAGAAAGAAGTGCTGGCATTCAGCCTGTTTCTCTTTAGTTGGTCTGGGATCCCAGCATATAGGGTGGTGCCACCCACATCTAGGGTGGGACTTCTCAGTTAAACCTCTGGAAATGCACTCACTACCAGCCAGATATGTCTCCTACACAAGCCTAATTCCTGTCACTCACCACCAGCAAGGCGAGTCTCCTACACAAGTCTAATTCCTGGCAGCTGATAATGAAGATTACCAGTTATCAAAATTACCAGTTATCAAAATTCGTACTGTAACAGACTGAATTTTGTAGGATCTGAATTATGCCTCAATTGCTATTACACCATGTGGGTGCATGTACACACACACACACACACACACACACACAAACACACACCCCACAAATATGGGCCACGGCTCTCCATACATAGGAACAGGTTAGTGTGTGGTGTCAGTTGACTCAATTGATGTAAATCCCTCCAGGGAAATAAGCAGTTGAGTGTTTCAGGTGCTCAGTACGGGGTCACACAATGAACACTTTAATCTTATTAAGGGAGTGAAGAGGGAGGAAGAACCCTGGATATACAAATTACTGCAGGGACGTTAAGTCTGAAATGAAGGAGGGAAACAGAATCTACAGGAAAACTAAAAAAACTAACCAGTTCCAGAATAAGCATAAGAATATTAGCATATTGTCTATGTATCTGTAATAACTCAGCCATAAAATATAGTGAAAAGTATATTAGCAAGAGCACTGTAAAATGCCTAAGGGTAAATTTACCTAGAAATGTTGCTAGGTATAGTTGCTCTTGACTGTAATCCTTGCACCACTTGGGAGGCTGAGACAGGAGGATTGCTGCAAATTTGAGACCAGCCTAAGTGTTACCATGTAAAACCATGTGCCAAAACACACACCACACACACACACACACACACACACAATACTCTTTATAGAAAAGTAAAAGGACCAACCAGACATGACACTCCTTTAATCCCAGCACTCATGAGGCATAGAAATGGTATAATAGAGAAGTAGATGGCCCCTACCTCTTTTTGATTAGGTTCTCATTATGTAGTCTAGGCTGTCTTTTTATTTTATTTTTTTAGCTCAGGCTGGCTTTGAACCTCCATTCCTCCTGCCTCAGCAGGATTACAAGATACTATTACATCCATTTTCCACCTCCACTCCACTGGATTCAGAGTGACTCTGTAGCCCTGGCTGTTCTGGAACTTGATTATCTATTTATCTATATCCAGGCTGGCCTAGAACTCAGAGAGCTCACTCTGCCTCTGCCTTTTGGTGCCAGGATTAAATGATTGAACCACCATGCCCAGCCATCACATAAATTTTTAAAACTCTGTGTAGAGAAAAAAGATGGAATTCACACCAACTATGATTTTTGTTTATATGATAAAATTAGAAATGGTTTGTATTTTCTTCTTTTTGCTTATCAATATTTTCTAATTCTTCTACAGTGAATGTGTTTCTTCTCTAAAGAAAAAGATTTTAAAAGATTAATTTTGGTATTTTTGGCTTTTTTAAAAATTAATTTATTTTTGAATTAGTTTATTTTATGTGTATGGGTATTTGCCTACATGTATGTCTGTGCACCATGTGCGTACCTGATGCCCATGGAGGCCAAAAGAGAGTGTGGGTTTTCCTGGAACTGAAGTTACAGATAGTTGTGATCCACTATATGGTTGAACCTGGATCCTCTGGACAAACAGCCACCTTTTAACCACTGAGCCACCTCTCAAGACTCTTGTTTTTCTTGTTTTTTTGTTTGTTTTTTAATACAGGGTTTCTCTGTATTGCTTTGTAGCCTTTACTGGAACTAACTCTGTAGACCAGGCTGGCCTCGAACTCACAGAGATTGCCTGCCTCTCTCTCCCTAGTGCTGGGATTAAAGGTGTGCACCACCACTGCCTGGTCTGGTTTTCCTTTCTTTTCTTTTCTTTTTTTTTTAATTACACATTTTATTTACCATTAGAGTCTGTGTCTGTGTGCATGAGGGTATGTGCGCTATGACATACCTGTGGAGGTCAGGGTGGGTTCTGGGGATTAAACCCAGGTCGTCAGGCAAGCGCTGAGCCATCTCCACAGCCCCTGCTGTTCTTCTGAGCAAGGTGCATGTGCTGTTGCCTTCTTTCATTGTGCACCCTGCCAGTGGCTCCTGGGACGCTGTGCTCCATTACCTGGATGGCTTTGTCACCACAGTGACAATGCTGCCAGCTTGTGTGGCCCCCTCGACACTGTAACCCACTGTAACCGTGGTGCCTCCAACAGAGTCTGGGGCCGTAAGTGTTCAAGAAGGTGAAGAAGGTGGAGTGGGATTCGAAAAACCGAGAAAGGGTGGGGGGGGAACTTGTCCGCCAGAGATTGCTGTGGCAATTTCTGTATTAGGCCACTGCATTCCCAGGATCCAAAACTAAGAGGCAAATGGAATGTTACTTGCATAGTTCCTTATACTGAGACAGGAATTGAGCTTCTAAAGAAAAGTTTGGTTTCAGAATCACTTTAAGTTTTGATTGTGGGGAACCAAAATCAGAAGTTAAGGAGCTGACTTGGGATCAGAGGCTGGTGGCGCCTGCACGTAGACAGACCAGAATGAATCTCAAGGCGCTGGGGCAAACCCGGGCTCTTTCACCAGAAGACACTGCCATGCCTTCCCACCCCCGCGTTCCATCTGTAACGTTGGTGTTCAGAGTTGACAGATGGGAGAATCGTTGCCTTGTTTTCTTTCTGGGTTCTGAGTAAAGGCCCTACAGGGGTCGGGGGACTCTGCTGTCCCAGCTTCTCACTTGTACCTGTTTAAATCTTTATTTACAGCCAGAGGAGGGGACATAAGGTAACAACTCCCTGTGTTACTTCTGTTTCCAGGAAGGGGAACAGTTCGTGAAGAAAATCGGTGGTATTTTTGCCTTCAAAGTGAAGGATGGCCCTGGGGGCAAAGAAGCCACCTGGGTGGTGGATGTGAAGAACGGGAAAGGATCAGTGCTGCCCAACTCAGGTCAGTGCCAGAGCAACTTCACTTAGAGCAACAACAACTTCACAAGGGCTTTCAGCTGGGAGCCTCTTCAGTGTTCCCACAAAGGCCTGTGTTAGAGGTTACACATCCTTGGAGAGAACTGTTCTATCCTTGGGAAGAGATGTAAGTTCAGACCACCCCCTCCAAAGTTGGGGAGACTCCACACAAGAGATGCTAGTCTTAGACTGGACGTAATCACACCTGGCTTGGATTTCTGACTTGGGTTTCTTTCACTCCAACTCTGACCTTGGCCTAGTTGTTCATCTTCTCTCAGGGTTTCTATTGCTGTGATGGAACACAGTGACCAAAAGCAACTTGGGGAGAAAAGAGTTCCCTTTACTTCATATAACAGTTCATCGTCAAAGGCAGTGAGGGCAGGAACTCACACAGGGCAGGGACCTGGAAGCAGGAGCTGAGGCCATGGAAGAGGCCTGCTTACTGGCTTATGGTTGCTCAGTTTGCTTTCTTACAGACTCTAAGACTCCCAGCCCAGGGATGAACCCACCCACAATAAGCTGGGCCCTCCCCCATCAATCACTAATTGAGGAAATTAATGCTCCACAGGCTTGTCTGCAGCCTGATGTCTTGGAACCATTTTCTTAACCAAGCTTCCCTCCTTTAAAATGGCTGTGGCTTGTGTGAGGTTGACATGAAACTATCCAGCATGCCAGGCTTCAGTTTTCTTACCTATAAATGGCCACAAGTATTGCCTGCTTCATAGAGTGTATGTGGGGCTTGAGAGCATTCTCTCTTGATTAGCTTGAGATCACATTAGCCAGGACATGACGGATGACCTCAACCGACCTGGCTGTGTTCACTAGCTCTTATTTCCTCTCATCCAATTCTCTCTTGAACCCATTGCACCCGGCTTTTGTCCCAATCTCTCCTAAACTTGTTCTTGCTAAGGTCCCTAGCGATTGCCACCTTACTAGATGAAGTCGTTAATCCCTGCCTTCATATCACATGTTCAGGATTTGTTTTTTAAACTGGCTGCTCATTTTGGCCTGTCTTGATAATTTCTCCATCTCCTAAGTTCAGGCATTGGGGTGTTGCAAGGTTTAGTTCTGGTTCATTCACTCCCTGGGGAATCTCATGTAGCCTCTTATTTTAATAACAATTTGCTGATGACTCCCAGGTTTATGTGTTCAGCAAAGACCCACCACTGAATTCAGAGGTGTCTGCATAGCTATTTAGCTGACTAGTATACACAGACTTAGGGCGTTTTCTACTGCTATAATAAAATATCACAGACTGGGTAAATTTTAAACAATAAGTTTAGTCGACTCTCTTTTTGGAAGCTGGAAGTCCAACACAGGGCAGCTGCATCTGGTGAGAGGGCTTTGTTACTTTTGTCTGATAGATTGCAAGGGTAAGGGAAGTGGGCTAAAGAGGAGGGAAGGATGGGAGCTGAACTCCATCCTTTTCCAGAAGCCTACTCCTGGGGTAATGGCCTCTATCCGTTGCTGAGGGCAGAGATCTCATGGCCCTCAGTCCCTTTAAAAGGCTTTATCATTTAATACCACTACACTAGAAGCTAGACTTCACCATGTTTTAGAGGGCACATTAAACCCTGTCAACACCTTAAAGGTAGTGTGTGTGAAACAGAACTCTGGGCTCTACTCCCCTTGAAGCATGTACTCCTGTGGTCTGCCTGCTTCTCAATAAGTTGTGTTTCCTTAGTTCCTTAGTCCAAATGCGTGAGGTCATCCTTGGCCCCTCTTCTCACACTCCACATCCCACTGGATCTGAGCTTTGTGTCTCTGTTCCTGCCCTTGCGCCTCACAGTTCTTCACACAACAGCCTGATGGTCAAAAAACAGAGTCAGATTTGTAACCCTCTCTGCTCAAAGCAGCCTTCACCTCCAAGCAGAATCGGGGTTTTTGTGACAACACCAGATGACCTGGCAGCTTGTCTTGCTGTGTCCCCCCCTTACCCGCTTTAGTAACCGGCCTCCTGCTGTAGCTTGAGCATGTGGTGTTCTCATTTGGGAGCTTCTGTCTGTGCTGTCTGCCTGGGATCATCTTCCCCAGGTAGCTTCATTGCCTCATCTTTGCCCAAAAGTTTCCTTCTCAGCAGTCGCCTCCCTAACCACACTTACTGATGTTTTCTGCCTTATTTTTCGCTGTAGTGCTTATCACTCTCATTTGCCGCTACTCTCCCACCCTGAGAATACATTCTGTGGAAGCAGACTGCTGCCATGAGGACCAGCCTTCAGCAGCTCAGGAATTGAGGGGGACCATGGGATGGGCAAACTAATCACTCAATGTAACCTTTCTATCTGAGGGAGTAAACTTAATTCTCCGTGGTTGTTGAGAAGGGACACACACACACACACACACACACACACACACTTTCAGGGTCTCTCTCTTTTGAGACAGGGTTGTGCAGAGGGCAAATGGTATTGCAGTGATGCTGCTGCATCTTTAGTGAAGGAGGTCCTGAAGGAGAGCATGCCCTCAGGGACAGGTGGAGGAGAGCTCTTACAACAATGGATGTCCCTTTCCCTGCAATTGCACTTAGGTATCCAGGCTCTCCAGAAGGGGGGTGGGGTGGTTGGCAGAGATTAGTGTGAAGCATTTGGAAAAAGAGAAAGCTTAGGGGCACTGCTTTGTGTACTGCTGAATGGGAGCAACGAATAGGAAGCCTGCCAAGCGTGGCATGGTGGCTTTGTTGCAAAGGTTCCTGAATTAAATATAGGGTTCCCCCGCCCCCCAAAATAATGAGTGAGCAGAGAAAATGGTGTAAGAAGAAAACTTTTAAAAGTGTCATCTAAAGGCAGCTTTTAAAAATAGAAAGTCTTTGGGGACTATAGTTGTAAGGAGTAAGGTTTTTCCGCCCACCGCTGATCTGGTCCTGCTGCCGCGCCTGCCCCAATTAACACATGGAGACTCTGTATTAGATATAATTCCGTTGGCCAGGTACTTGTTTCTTATAGCTAGCCCTGTCTTAAGTATTAACCCATTTCTGTTAATCTAATATTTCCACGGGCTTTTACCGGAGAGCCCACTGGCATCCTGCTCTCTCCAGACTCTCCATCTTGACTCCTCCTTACTCCTTCCTCTTTCCTCCTGTCTCCTAGTCCCGCCTATCTTGCTTTCCTATTAGCCAGCAGTGCTTTATTCATTAACCAGTATGAGAAACATATTTACAGAATGACATCTCCCATCATATAGTAATGGCTTGGGGGGGGGTCTTACTATGTGCCCTTGGCTGGCCTGGAACTTGCTATGTAGTCCACAGTAGTTTTGGTAGAGATCTACCTGTCTCTGCCTCCCAGGTACTGGGATTAAAGACATGGGCCCACATATCCAGCAGTAGTGGCAATTAAAACATAAATAAAGGTTAATAGTTACTTAGAATTCTATTTTCTGACAGATATTAAGGAAATTTAAAAAATTCTCCTGTGCTGTTCTCTTTAGCTGGTTGTTTGGTCACGAACGATGGTTTGCTTATAGAATGCTATCAATGATGTTAAAAAGGCCTTGCTCACTGCACGAACACCTGCCTTGTGCTCTCCTCCCTGTTTTAGGTGTCCTGTTCCAGACCTCAATGGGGGTAGCCTGGGGCAGGGTCATTTCTGCTAAACCTGACACCTGTTGGCAGCCAAGAGTTGTGTTTAAATGTGCCTGTAAAAGCTGTCACTGGAAACTGCCAGTTTCTCTTACCTGCACAACAAATGCCCATTTGTTAGATATTAGCTATGTTAAAGGCCCAGTAACATGTCCTAGTTTGAACTGGAATCATGAGGAGAATTGCTGGCTTATCTGGTGTGTACATAGTTTCAGGAGAGTTTTGTTACTGTTAAAAAAAAATTTAAGTTTGTACATATATCTCATCCATCTGCTTTCTAAGAATATGGTAGTGGTATGTTTAACATGATTATGTTAAACACTTGTAATGTGTTTTCCATCAACTTTTCTCATTTCTTGCATGCCTTCTATTGCTTTCTCTATGAGTTCCTTCTCTCCCTTGACCTCTTTGAGACAATTCACATAGCATCTCTCCCAAAAGCCAACTTGTAATGTGACGTGTTATGTCTTTGTTCCTTCCTTCTGTCCTCAGCTACTGAATTCTCACTCTGGCCCTTTAGGGACAATAGAGTAGAGAACGCTTCTGGGTTTCCTGTCCCCTGGTATATTAGGAAGAGCCTTTGGAGGCTCTCAAACCTGAGTTCAGCTCCTGGCCCAGTCTCTTAGGCAAGGCGCATCCCTTCCCTGTATCTAGTTGTCTCCTCTAGAGAATGGGTGAGGGTAGTTTCTGTCATCAGAAGCTGCTGTGGGAGTTAACTGCGATGCAGGGTTGTAAAGCGCCTGGCATCATAAGACTTCATGAATCAGTATATCAAATACTAATTTTTCTTAGTTGCATCAGCTGTGTGACCTTAGGGACGTTATTTGCTCTCTCTTACCTGCACAATGTAATTATAAAGTTCGTGTGAGAACAGAGGTGTGCCATGCTCATCATGGGAACTTGGTAGATGCGGATGAGCTCAGCACTGCAGATATCTCTTCCCACAGTTACTTGCCTTGTGCTCAAGAACCCTTCCTGGAAATGACAGGATCGGGTCCAGCTGTCTCAGTTAGTTAGCCCCTCATCCCCAGCCCCACCTACTCTTTGATAGTATATATTTGCAGTAGGATTTGATTCTTTAGACAGCAAATTCTCTTCATTTCTAAAGTTTTAGACCTATCACCCTATAATTAAGAGAAAATTTTGTTAACAGCTACAGTGGAATGGCCATTGGATGTCAGTCCCTAAATCATAAAACCTACTGTGAAAGCTCTCTCCATCTTGCTTTAGTTATTTAGTGATGTGGGTGTACCTTCCCTAATGCTTCATTTACCCTGCCCTTTTTCCTTCTCTTCCTTTATTTGAGACAGAATCTTACTATGTACCCTGGCTTTCCTGGAATTCATTAGGTAGGCCAGGCTGGCCTGTCCCTGCTAAGTGCTGGGATTAAAGATGTGTGCCACCATGCCAGGCATCATCTTTTTTCTTTTCTTTTTTTTTTTTTTTTTTGGGTATGTGTGTATGTGTTTCCTGAAGACACAGTTTCTCTATGTAACAAAGCACTGGCTGTCCTGGAACCCTTTGTAGATCAGGCTGTCCTGGAACTCACAGAAATCTGCCTGTCTTTGCCTCCTGAGTGCTAGGATTAAAGGTATGCTCCACCATATCTCTCTCTTGATTTTTTCTTTGCGGTGCTGCCTGCCATCTTGCCCCAAGTAAGCACACAGACGCTATATTAATTATGAAACTGTTGGCCTATGACTAGAGCTTTTTATTGGCTAGCTCTGTTTTAATTAACTCATTTCTATCATTCTATGTATTGCCATGAGGCTATGTAATACCAGGAAATGTACTCCTCCAGCAGCATTGTGACTCTCCCGCCTACCTTCCCCAGATTTCTCCCCCTCTCTTACTCCTGCTTATCTTACTGCCTCATTGGCCATTGGCCCAGTGGTGTTTTATTCATCAACTAATAATAGAAACATATACCAAAGGACATCTCCCTCATCATTTCTTCTTAATTGTGTGTTTATGTACGGCATGTATCAGTGTAAGTGCCTGAGGAGTCCAGGACCATGGATCTCCCGGAGCTGGAGTTACAGACAGCTGACCTGGGTGCTGGTAATTGAAAGTGCGACCTCTGTAAGAGCAGTTCACACCCTTGACCTCCCGGCCATCACTCTAGCTCCCCTGTCTTTCGGAGATAAAGTGTACTATGCATCCCAGGCTTGTGCTGGTTCTCACTGTGTTGCCCTGGCCTGCCAACTTTTATTTGAGCTAAACCCTTATATGATGAGGAGCCAACAATTGGACTCCTGTTATACTGACTGATTGCCTAAAACACTGAGTGCTAAGAAAATGATTTCTTACCGAGTGTGTCCTTTTCTGCTGGGAAACTCTTACTGCCTACAATCAGTAGGCTAATGTAACAACGAGAAATTAATCTTTGTAGTCTAGTCTTTTTTCTATCATTATACATAGGTAATACCAAAATAAGCACTTTTAAGACCCTATTTAAGTAATGTACACTTAGTATAAATGGTTAGAAAAAGTTGGGAAAATAAAATGAGAGTAGGCGTTTTCCTCCACCCCCCCAGTTTTACCATCTAGTTGAGGAAATGGCAAATTATGGACCAATTGTAGCCCACCATCCATGTGTTTTCTTACTCTGTTTTACTTTGGGTAACTTTTATTGAAGTCTAGCCTGTGGCATAGATCTGAAGTATTCTTTTTTTTTTTTCTTTTTTTTTTAAGATTTATTTATTTATCATGTATATTCGGTGTTCTGCTGGCATGTATCCCTGCACACCAGAAGAGGGCACCAGATCTCATTATAGATGGTTGTGAGCCACCATGTGGTTGCTGGGAACTGAACTCAGCCAGTGCTCTTAACCTCTGAGCCATCTCTCCAGCCCCCCAATGTTTGCAGAATAATATACCTCCCAGATCAGGATGCTTGGGATTGTTGCTGCATTCCAGTATCCCAGAGACTTCCCTAAGGCCCCTCCTAATGCCATCTACCCCAGAAAGGAGCCCTTGTTCCAAATTCTGCCACCACAGATTGGATTTTACTTATTTTAGGAACCTGTTGCTGGAATCACCCCATATTTACTTCTTTTTGGTGTTGGTCTCCTTGAGCAGCAATATAGGACCCAGCAGAATGGTTGCAGGCAGCCATTGCTGGATCATCTTTACCAGGCCTGAACCCCAGCATTTACTCATTGTAGGCTGAGCTTGCCTTGCCTTGTTCCCAGGTTAGGCCTTTGTGAAGAAAGCTGTCCCGGACATTTTATCGTGCCTTCAGACAGTTCTTTGGTGTGAGAGTGTAAGTCATAAAGTGCCTCACAGTCAGGATTTTGCTGTGCTGCCCTATTTTATATTCAGTTACCTCACATTTTTTATAGTAGTTGGAATTGGCAGTTTTATAAAATCATGTCTATCAGGCTATAACCTATATTCAATAAAATCTACCTTAAAACAAAACAAAGCAAAAACCCCTTTAGGCTGGGCCATGCTGCCATACACCTTTAATCCCAGCATTTGGGAGACAGAGACAGGCAGACCTCTGTGAGTTCAAGGCCAGCCTAATCTATGTAGTGAGTTCTAGGATATTTGTGTGTGTATGTGTGAGTACAAACATGTGGGGTTCAGAGCAGGACATCAGTTGTCCTGCTCTATCACTGTGCCTTGGTCCTTTGAGACAGTCTCTCACTGAACCTAAACTTGGATACCTTCAGGTATCCACTTCCACCCCCCCCCCCCCAACTGCTGAGGTTATTCCCAAGGTTTTGATTTTTTTGTTTTGGGTTTTTTGTTTGTTTGTTTTTTTGAAACAGGGATCCTCTGTGTAGCCTGGTTGTCCTTGAACTTGCTCTGTAGACCAGATTGGTCTTAAAGTCAGAGGTCTGCCTGCCTCTGCCTCCCGAGTGCTGGGATTAAAGGCTTATGCTGCTGCCCTGCTACACCCAGATTTTATGTATGTGGGTGCTGGGGATCTGAACTCAGCTTCTTATACCTGAGCCATTCCCCAGCCCCTCACCTAACTTCCCACAGCTGAGTGGTAGGAATTCTTCCAGTGTTCGAGACACAATTTGTTTGTAGATTTGTTTGTGAGCTGTAGGCACCGTCCCCTCCATCTGACACTGCTTTAAAATGTTTTGTTGCAGAGGTTGGTGAAATGGCTCAGTAGATAAAGGCACTTGCCTCCAAGCCTGACAACTTGAGTTCAATCCCTGGAACTCATAATAGGAAGAGAAAATTTACTCCATCTATTTGTCTTCTGATGATATACACTCTGTCATACATGGCCATAAATGTGCACATGAACAAACACACGTGCTAAATGAATAAATAAATGTAAAACAAAAAACAAGAAACGAAGGACACCGTTTACTTGGTACAGCTCCTTGTTGTGTGTTATCTACACAGAATGGCATAATTGTGACAGACCTGGTGACCTCCAGAGCCTACAAGATTTAGTGTTCGAGCTTTTACAAAAAAATGTTGGGGGGTGGAGAGATGGCTCAGTGGTTAAGAGCACTGGCTGTTCTTCCAGAGGTCCTAAGTTCAATTCCCAGCAACCACATGGTAGCTCACAACCATCTCTAATAAGATTTGGTGGCATGTACTTGTAATCCCAGTTTGGGGCCAGCCTGGGCTACACGGTGGTGGGGGACACATTTCTTTATCACCTCATATGTTTCCAATGGTTGAGCTGATGTCAGCCTAGCTCAATTCTCTGTACAGGGCTGCATAAAACTGCAGTCAAGTTACTGGAGGCCTGATTGGTTTCAGCATCCAACCTAACCCAGGTTGTTGGCAGAATGTATTCCCTGTGGCTGTAAGAATGATAGCTTTAGTAGCTTTAGTTGCTCCCAGCTCCTTGGAAAGTATGGCCGTCTCTATGGGAAGTCCACATGTACCAGCTAGCTCTTCAGAGCCAAGACGAGTGCAAGTGTGACTTTACTACCAAGATGGATGCTTACTTAGCATTAAATCCATGGATTGCACACCACATTCCTTTGGCTAAAGCAAGGCACAGGTCCCACTCGCACTGGCCCAAGGGGATTAAGCAAAGGTAGGCAGGGTTCATCAGGGCCACCCTGAGTCTGTCAATCACAGTAACAGTAACATATCAGTTTTTCTTTTACTTCTATCATTGAATGGTGTTTTTAAGCAAAAGCAGGATCATTGTTGAGGTTTACTTTGTAACTGCCTCTATGTCTTTATTGTCACAAATACAACACCTTCACCGTCCAGACCATGGCTGCATGGTGTTCCAGTATGAGAATACAACTCATTCTTGCTATTGAACATCAAGGTTACCCCATCTTAGCAGACTGCAATAGACTATTCCCCAGTGCCATGTCCTCTGGCTGCTTTAACTGTGATTCTCATGGAGGAGTGGTCTCCAAGTGTCATGTCCCTGATTGCTCTCTCTTCTCTTCTCTCCTGTTGTCTTGCATGTGTCTGTTTTAGATAAGAAGGCTGACTGCACTATCACCATGGCTGACTCAGACTTGCTGGCTTTGATGACTGGTAAAATGAATCCTCAGTCGGTAAGTACGATTTGACAGATGTTTGTGGAACATTAGAAATGATGAACCTGAAGTAGTCCCTACACTTAGTTTGGTAAGAAACTGATCTGTAAGAGTTAAGTGCAGAGGCCAGGGAGATAGTCTATAAAGTGCATGCCACATAGACATGAGAACCCATGCCCCCATGTAAAGAAGTTGGACATGGATGTACATATCTGTAATCTCAGTGCTGGGGAGGCAGAGACACTCTGGAACTCACAATGAAAGGGCTTGCCTGTCTCAGAAAATAAGAGAGCAACTGAAGAAAACACACAGTGTTAATTTACACCCTCGGTGTATGTACACACACACACACACACACACACACTCACATGTGCACAAACACATATGCACACACCCCAAGCACAGCTGGTAAGAGCCATGGTAAAGCCTGGCTTGTGGCCAGCCTATGTGGAAGAAGGGAAGGCCTCTGGGAAGGCTTAGTACAGAGTTAGCAAGGCTCGGGAGAGAGGGACATTTTGAGGGAGGAAGGAGTGATGGTGGACACAAAAACGGCCTTCTGTGTTCCTCTTGATGCCCAAGCTCTTCTTTCTGCCTGAACTCCTTCCCTGACAGACTTGGCTTTTCAAACCAGTTCCTCAAAACTGAATTTTTGTCCTGAGTCTGTCCCCATTAGATCCCCAGTGCCACAGAAGACAGACATCTTATGTTCTTGGTGGTTCTGCAACAGTACAGCGCCTGATGGTTTTAGTTGCTATAGGTTATTAGATTAAAAAGTGTATTTATCTAAAATGTCTACATGCCTCATATGGTTCTTCCTGGTCTCCAAGTTGCTAAGAAACCCTTCTTTATCAGCAGGGTTGAGAGGACTGGATACATCAAGCCTTCCGTTAGCAGAAAAGAAACCCAAGACCTTCATTTTTTTGTTCTTGTCTTAGCTGTTTTGGGTCTTGTTTCTGGTATTCCCTGGTAATTCATGTTTGAACAAAACTAAATCTGACTCTCCATGCTCTTCCTTTTTAAATGGGTTTCCTAACAACTGAGTATGTGTCAGTAACGCCATGACTGAGCCGTGTGCATCTGTGGTGCTTCGGTGTAGCACTCACCCTGCCGCTGACACCACCACCCACAATCCACTCCAGAACCCTGGGTGGGACAGAGGCCACCAGCAGTTGCTGGCTGTCATATTCTTCCATTCTGTGCACACCACGCAGCTCTGGCAGAGGTTCGCCCTTCACACATCCACTGTCCTTGTTCTCCTGCAGTTTATCTGTGTACAAACGTTGTGGGGGGCCTGGTATCAGCTTGTTTTCCTTCAGCACCTGTTAACACCCAGAGGAACCGCAGATTAAAGTAGCAGCCCTGTCCGTTAATGTGCTGATGGCCTTTCCTTATGCTCAGACGAGGACTTGACTGGGAACCATAAATGCAGTGGAAACTCTACTTTCAGTGTTTGGCTGCAGTTGAAACGAAGCAATGATCTAGCCAGCAAAAAAGCACAGACAAAGAGTACCTAGGGACCAGATTAACACAGCCCTCAGGCTTGGATTCTCAGTGGATGACACTCATGCTCTCTCTATTATTTTCTCCTGTGGCTTTAAAAGGAGAAGGTGGTGCATTTCTGTAGTACAGCTGGTTTGTATTTCTAAGTAACATATGTTAAATATATTGTGTTCTGAGACACCTGACCTTTCAGTCATCAGACAGAAGGCATTGTGCCATATAAAAAGGAAATATTTAGTTTGTCACTGCTGGGGGAAAGAGAGTGTTAGAGATCCCTGCCAGGGTGTGGAAAAGCCCAGCCACGCTGCATGCTTCTGAGACTCCCAGAAACCTTTCTCAGCCAGTGCTTTCTTACTACAAAGATGGAGTTAGAACACTAGAGTCCTCATGCAAGAATCATACTGTAGTCCTCATTTTGCTACTTCTGAGTCTCCCTGGGATTTTGTTACACAGTAAATTTAGCAAATGTCATGTGATCTAATCTCCAGCCTTGTTAAATGGAAGTTTGTGCCTCTGCCCTTCTCATTGAGCCAGAGGATCAGAAATACCTCATGAACAGGGAGGTTGTCCTTTGCAGGCATCAGCCTTCAGGGAGAGCTGGCCAGAGTGGAGCCAGTGGTGGAGTTTGAACCGTTGTTCCGTTTCTAAGTGTGTTTTGAGTGTGCGTTCTCTCCCAGCAACCTGCTGTAATTTCATGTTTTTAGCCCATATGTGATGTTTTAAAGGAAATTCATCTAGTGTTGATCTGTTTTGTCTGGCATTTGAACAAGGTATACCACATTTGAGATAGAGAGCCCCAACTTTTAAGAGAAGGGACTTTGGGGATTCTGCTCCCTTCCCATTACATAAAGCATGGCTGTTGACAATTCTTCCTCTCAAGGGATCTTGTTCTAAATCTGTTCCAGAAAGCTAAGGTTTTCATTTTGTAGAAAGCTAAGGACCTGGATAGATGACCTCAAGCCTGAATAGTCTAGAAACACTAGCAAATGCTGAACAAAACCCATCAACTAATGAATTTTATTTTTTTATTACTCACAGGCCTTCTTTCAAGGTAAATTGAAAATTGCTGGTAACATGGGTCTGGCGATGAAACTGCAAAACCTCCAGCTTCAGCCTGGCAAAGCTAAGCTGTGAAGATGTCCATTTGGAACCTCAGCACGTCAGGATGAGATGATTAGATATGTAGATATCCACGTCTCATTGTCAGGACTTAGTCCAACATTTCCTGATTAGCATGAGGTAGATTTGTTGCTAAGTGGGTGTAGCCAATGGTGTTTTTCCTGAGCTGGGGGTGGATAGGGCCTCCCAGCCTACTGCTGCTGCTTTGAAGACTTGCATGACAAGGCTACTATGGCAGTAAGGGTTGGGGTAAATTTGAGTTCCAGAATAAAATTCAAGAACAGTAAAATCTAACGACTGTAAACAAAGCTCTTGTTTTGCTTAGAAGCATATTTAAGGGTCAATGTGCGGAACACTAGGAATGAGTGTCCCCTGGGGGCACTGGAGAAGAAACAAACTTCCATAGTTGACCAGGAGTTAGTGTCTCTTGCACTTTTAATTACCTGCATCAAGTTATTGTTAATAGTTCTTAAAATTCTGTACTAAGCTAAAAAAAAAAAAAAAAACTATGAAAATGTGCACTTCATGCCATCCAAAACAGTTCTTTTCTTCCCCAATAAAATAAAGAATTATGATCTGAGCTTAGGAGGGAATTTACAGCTGAACAAAGCTGTTTTTAAAGCATTTTTGAATTGGCATCCTTAAAAATCAGGGTATTAGAGCCATTGGATGCCACTGCTAAAAATAATTGAATAAAGTTTCTTCCAGAGGCAAAGCCTTCAAATTATAGCTTCACATTAATAAGTTCATAAACTGGGTTTCATAATTTTCCCTTTTCTTATTTGATTGTCTGCTCTATCTTTTCTTGTAGTTTTTCTGATTCTGATGCTCTTTGTTATAACTTAGGTTTGGATGAACAATAATGCTTTTGGAAGATTTCAAAAGAAAATTAAAATAGCTCTTCCTGTTTCCTTCGTTTGTATTGAGTATGTTCTTTTTGCCTGGCGTTCTCTAGTCCATGGAGCAAAGGAAACACTGGGGTCTTAGAACCCAGATGTGACTTGGACACACTCGATCTACATGCTTTCACAGTTGCTGATTCTTGACTGGAGAGGTGGTATGTGTGGGAAGAGCATTTGACCAAGACACCACCTCTCTTGGGCAGATAACTACTTACCTGGGTGCTGGGAGTTGTTAGAAGGGAGATTTGAGCCAGCAGCCTCCTGCTAGGCTGGACTTTGCACTGAGACTCTCACTGAGACTCGTACTGAGAACCAGGTGTCCCTGGTTTCATTGATTGCTTTTGGGGGGAGGGAATTTGAGACGAAGTCTTATGTAATTTTGGCTGGCCTGAACTCTCCACATAGCCTGAGTTGGTCTGGAACTTGTGGCAATCCTCCTGAACTCTGTCTCCTAAGTGTTGGGCTCACAGGTGTGTGACACCATGGCCCAGCTGTAGGCTCAGCTTTTGAGGTCAGAGGTGAAAAGTCAGGTTGTTTCATTCATCCTAAGTATTCATGGTCCTTGTTAGTGTGGCCAGCACTTGCTCAGGCCCCTGAAACCATTAGCTTTCTGTGCTCTGTGACCAACAGGGCATTTGCTGATAGTGCCTGAAGATAACTTAAACCATGACAGGTTGGCCTCAAGTCCCATAGATGGATTCAAGGAATAAGCCCACCTCCTAATCAGAGCGGCTTCTTAACACTGAAGACCAAGAAGTAAAATGCCTGATTTCTCTGGAGTTTGCACTTGTTGCTCCCTTCTGTCTGCTCTGGCCCTTGATAACGAGAGATTCTAGAAACGGGCTTTAGGATGATCCTATGAAAATAGAAGGCTCTACATATAAACGGTGCAGTGCAATCTCTGGAGACGCTGGTGAACTCTTCCCCTGTGTTGTTATCAGTCCAGTCAGGGGGACAATCAAAGAGATGGGTACAGACTGTGAAGTGCTGCGTAGCAAGCTGTTGCAGGCTACCCTACTTGGACACCCCTTGGGGGAGGGAAGGAGAAGATGCAGCCCCAACTACTCAGGCACTGGGAGTCAGTGAGTAGCAGAGCATGCTGCAGACTGGTTTACTAAGGAAGTTAGGCCTGTCTTTATACCCCCTCCCAGGGTCCTGTTGGCTCAGGCGGCTGACTCTGCTGTGTTGTCCTTTCTTATTGGTGTCTCTGGGTCAGGTGACTCACAGTAGTCTCTGGGCATAGAGGCAGGCTGGGCTCAGGTAGGAAGTGCCTGCCTTGCATGCTCATGTGGGCTGGCCTGGGCACCTGCAATTTGGCTAGGCTGGCTAGCAGTTTCTCCTATAACAAGTGATCAGGGCGCCATGATAGAGGGCTGCAGGTATCTGGGGTTTTTTGTTGTTGTTGTTGTTGTTGTTTTGTTTTTTGTTTTTTATTGTTTGTTTGTTTTTTTTTTGTTTTTGTTTTTGCTGCAGGTATCTGTGAAGAAATTTTTTTTAAGATTTATTTGTTATGTATACAGTGTTCTGCCAACATGTCAGAAAGGGCACCAGATCTCATTATAGTTGATTGTGATCCACCATGTGGTTGCTGGGAATTAAAGAGCCTCTGGACCTCTGGAAGAGCCATCTCTCCAGCCCCAAAGAAATAATTTTTAAGATGAGAACAGAAGGTTAAGAAGGATAGAACTAAGACTGTTGAGTTGAAAGTTGACTTGCTCTAAAACTTGGAAGGGGTCAATGTGAGTAGACTATAATGAGTGGAAGGACAGGCCCAAGATGAGAACAAGGGACTGGGAGTCTCTTACAGTAGGCATGGATCATCCGGTAAGGCATTTGTAAGGTGTGTTATTCTCAGTGCAGTTGCTGGGCGCTAAAGACAGGGCTTGTCACTCTGCTGCTGTCCACCTTACCATCATGACATAGGAAGAGAAAAAGATTATGTTCTTAAAGCTTTTAGTCATGTCTTCATTCAGAGAAAGTCATGTGTGTTCTCTGGCTACGCAAATATGACGTGGAATGATCCAGAGATGATTAGCATGGCCCCTGTGCAAGGATAACATACAAATCTGTGGTGTCCAGATCTGTTTTGTACTTTTAAACTGTTGAATACTTGCAATCAAGACTTTTACTAGGATATTGAATAAATGCAGTCTTATTAGAACAGAAAACTAGAAAATCACGTGTCACACAGAACTTCAAAATTCCACATATATCAGGAGAGAATGGAGGTGGGGTGTCTAACCCCCAGAATAAGGACTGAAAGCAGGGCACTGACCTTCACAGCTGTGGGGTGGCGGACTGGGCAAAGTGACTGTCTAAGTGCAAGGGGATGGTGTTCTGTACCAAGGCATCTGCCAGTGATGGGGATGGATGTAGAAGAGTCAGAGCTAGCGAGCTGGCAGAACCTGGCAACTGGATACAGAGTTGAGACTGACTGCCAATGACTAGCTACTCCCAGGGCGGGCCCCAGCTGGACCACAACGAAACCTGAAACGGGAGGGTCTGAAACACTTATGTTTTGAACTCATGTCTGTCTGGGATGCCCAAGAAATACCAAGTTGGAAATACTAGGGAAGGTGTTGAGTTGACAAGAAGAGTTAGAGGTGAGCTGTTTGGAGACATGTGTTTGGATCTTGTGCACAAAAGGGTGGAATTTACAGTTGAAGGAATGGGTAGTACTACTTGGAGTTGGGGAATAGGGTTTGGGTTAGCCTTGGGTAAAACAGAGGTCAGGTAGTCAGAGAGAGAGGTCAGAGAGGTAGATGGAAAACTCCAGAAGAGCGCACAGCCAACATTGGGAAGGGTCAGTGAGGTCAAGTAGTTTGATGTCTGACAGAATTTGGCAACATGGAAATCATTGGTGACCAAAACAAAAATGGTTCAATGGCATAGTAGAGATGAAGGCTGGACTGCAGTTGGTTTTATAAAATTCAGTGACAGAAGATAAGAGTTCTCTTGGGAAGTAGGAAGCTTGGCTCCTAAGAATTCATACTGAGCAGGCACATTATTTGATTATACTGAAGTCAACCCAGGTAGTGTTGCCCATGCTATTCTCTGTGTCACCCCTGGTCACTCAGTCCCTGTCACCATACACACTTTGAAAACGCAGATTTCGTCACAAAAGGGAGCTAATCACTCCTTCATGGTAACATGTTCCTGTCTCCCACTCCCTAATGAGGGCTCATTGGGGGCAAAATCTGCTCCTCTTGCATCTAGTTTAATACCCCTTTCCCCAGACTTGATTGCCATTGATTGAATGGATGGAAGAAAGAGAGGAAAGGAAAGGAAGGAAAAGAAGGGAGGAAGGGAAGAGGGGAAGGAGGGAAGCTGGCTTACCAACTATTTCAACAGAAGGGCATATCTGAGGATGGGAACCTCTGTTAAAATAGACTGTCTGTCTGCTACCCTAATGATAAAATATTAGGAACTGTTCCTTAGCCCAACTTGTCCTATCTTTCTTTGAGAACATTTGGAATCTCTCCTAAGTCTTTGGACTAAAAACAGAAGTCTGAACTAAAGTCACAAGAAAGACAAGTTCATTAGTGCTTTATCAATTAGTGCATTCATCATTAGCTTTGCTGTTTCCTCCAGATGACTCTGCGTGGATTCCACCGTCTGCATCCGATAAGCAGAAGAATAATGGAAAGCCTGGATAGGAGGCCTGTGGAGGCAGAGAGGCCTCTGGGCTGAGGCAATAGTACCTGACCATCTCAGCCTCCTGTAAGCCAAGTTAGCATAAGGCATTCAAGTTACACTGGCCTTTAGTTACTTTCTTTATAAAGAAGGAACCAGGTCTCTTACATTGTAAATATCTTGAATGTTCTAGAAACTCATCTGTGTCTAGTGTCAATATAGTATCCATTAGAGGTAAGCCAATAGTAATTTGTTTGTTTGGTTTGGAGTTTTTTGTTTGTTTGTTTGTTTTTTAAGACAGGGACTCTCTATGTAACAGCCCTAGCTATCCTGGAACTATCTCTGTAGACCAGGCTGGCCTGGAACTCAGAGGTTCGCCTGCCTCTGCCTCCTATGTGCTGGGATCAAAGGTGTGCGCCGCCACCACCTGGCAGTAATTTGTTTTTAAGGCCAAAAAACCCCACAAAACTTTAAACCAGAATTACAAGCAGTTATGAGCTGCCAGATGTGGGTGCTGAGAACTGAACCCAGGTCCTCAGCAAGAGCAGTAGAGTTCTTAACCATTGGGTCACCTCTCCAGCCCCAATAAGTATTTCTTGACGTGATGAAGATTAGACATAATAACCAATGTTTTTGTTTGTTTGTTTGAGATAGTCTCCTGTAGCCCAGGCTGGCCTCAGCTCACTGTGTAGCTGAGGATGACTCCTGATCTTCCTGCCTCCACAGCATAGGTGCTGGGATTATGAACAGGTATTCACCACCACATCCAGTTTAACAGTTCTTTTTAGAATGTGAAGTACTTTGTAAAAGGTGGTTCCTTAAGTATTCTGGTTTTCCCTGTGTATGTCACCTTAAGGAAATGAAACAGGAACTTAAAACCTGTATCTCAGGCTGTTCTCTTCTGGGACTTGTAAACAACAAGACGTTTAGAGGAGCTTGGTGTTGTGGGAAACTTAGGGGTCTGTGAGGTATGTGACTTGGTCCTCACTGTGGTAAAACAGCTTTGTGACCTTGAGCTAATAGTAAGTGAAGATCCAGTTTGTTTGACCTTCTGTGAGAAGGGAGGAGTAGAGTGGTTAAGAACGCTCGCTGTTGTGAGCTCAGCCCACAGCACCTATGTCCGGTGGCTTGCAACTGCCTGTACTCCAGCTGCAAAGGATCTGACACTCTCTTCTGGCCTCTTAGGGGACCTGCCCACATGTACCATTCACTCACATAGACATATATGCACGAATAAAAACAATAATACATCATTTTTAGAAAAAGTTGAGGGGCTGGAGAGATGGTTCAGCCATTAAGAGTCCTTGTTGAAGCTGGGTGGTGGCGGCACATGCATTTAATCCCAGCATTTGCAAGGCAGAGGCAAGCAGATCAGTGAATCTGAGGCCAGCCCGGTCTACAAAGCTACACAGAGAACCCAGCCTTGAAGAAAAAAAAAGAAAGAAAAGAAGGAAAAAAGTAAAGCGTACTTGTTGCTCTTGCAGAGGACCTGGATTCAATTCCCAACACCCACACAGTGGCCCAGAGCCATCCTTAACTCCAGTTCTAGGGAATCCAACACCCTCTTCTGACCTTTGCAGGCACCAGGCACACATGGTTCATATGCATACATGTAGGTAACACACACACACACACACACACACACACACACACACACACTTCTTTTTAAAGTTGGAGCTGCGGTTAAGAGGGCTTGCTGTTGTACTGGAGGATCCAAGTTTGGAACTCAGCACCCATGTTAGGTGGCTTCCAGTTCCTGGGGATCCAGTGCTGCCTCTGCCTCCTTGGCTGCCTATACACATGCCTCCTTGGCTGCCTATACACATCACACACACACACACACACACACACACACACACACACACAAGAAATAATAAGTTTTGATGTGCTTTAGTAGTTGTAGCTCTGAAATGTACTCACTAGATCATGTCTCAGGTTATTTGAGAAAGGTTTCTTTATATGAAGAAATTACTGGTTTGGGATAGTATGAGAATTCTCTGAGTTCAGATAATCAGTTGGGTTTAGGATTGGCGGTAATTTGCTTTTATTGACCATATGTAGTTTTATATTTAACTTAAGAATCATCAAATTTTTATTTTTATTTTTTTAAAGATAGGGTCTCTCTATGTAGTCCTGGCTGTCCAGGAACTCTCTATGTAGACCAGGCTGGCCTTAAACTCACAGAGATCCTCCTGTCTCTGCCTCCTAAGTACTGTGATTAAAGGTGTCACCAAACCTGGTTAGGAACCATTAAAATCTAAATTCCTCTGTAACTAAACAGTAAATAAATGAACAGATATAGAATTATTTAGTATGACATTCAGGGACTTAGATTTTGCCAAGCATTGCAGTTCTAGTTGACCCATGCAACGGCTGCTTTCTGAACAACAAAGTCCGCAGATGTTATTAACCAGAGGAGAAATCAGCCAGGTGCATTTCCATGTACATTACTCCATGGGTTGGATCCACACTGGTAAGAATTAGGGATTTGTACTAAACTGCTGAAGAGGGGCCTAAAAGATTCATGAGCTATCAGGAACCACAGCCAAGTCTGGCCAACTTTTAGAGTTTTTCTCAATAGAGAGTTACAAAATCTTCTGGAACCATCCAATCTTAGATGTGTCTGGAGACTGCTGCAACAAACAGCTCTTTAATTCTTGGTAAGAACAAGGAATATTGGGCTAGATTTCTGGCCCTTGAGATGTGTGGAGTCTGATTCCATCTGGCTGGATGTTTTATCTGGTTGGGATTTTAGCCAGACTTCTTGAAGAACTATTAAAAGGAAAAAAGAAAAAAGTCCAAAACTTACTGCCCAAAGTGGAGGTCACACAGTCAGTTCCCTTAAGTCTTTACTGCCAATATTCATGTTGCTATTTTCAGCTGTATATAGACATGGCAAATGTTGACCTGTAGTTGCTGCATTTATGGCATAAACATTGAGTACAGTTGAGAACAATTGATTATACCGTGCTGTTTATTTAATTGCAGCCAAAAGGGCTGGGGATGTAGCTTTTCTAGCATGTGCAAGGTCCTGGGTTTGATCATACCACACCAAAAAAATTAAAATTAAAGAAATAATTAAATTGGGCTGGGAGAGATGGCTCAGTGGTTAAGATTGTGGGCTGCTCTTACAGAGGAAGTGAGTTCAGTTCCCAGCATCAACATCAGGCAGATCTTGGTTGTCTGTAGTTCCAGCCCCGGCAAGATCCAGGGTCTACAGCTTTCTTGGGCACCTGTGCTCCTGTGCATACACCCACACACACCCACACACAAACACGTACAATTTAATATTTTTTTAAAACAAGGCTTCATAAGCTACGGGCAGACAAGTATTAATCAACTACCCAATGTCAATCTTTTTTCTCCTGCAACTTATAATTCACTTTTTAGGATATGGCACCTTCTGTGGTATGAAAGGCACAGGTGTGTTCAAGACTAGGTCCTTCACTGGGATG